AGACCCTTTCCTATGTTGGGAAAAGCCAGGCGGTCGCGGCAGCGCTTGTTGAGCCCTGCTCGATGTTGTCTGTAATTGTTATTTGTGCTACGGGATCTGGTTCCAGGGTTGGGTTGGGGTTTGTTTTATTTTCCTGCCTCTTCTTTTTGAGTTTCAGCTTTGTAAGAAGGTGCCCCCGGGGTAAAATTGCTGTGTGGCAGCGCAGCCCAGTCGGGGGAATGTGAACTTTAAACGAAGCCATCTCTGAATCCCCTCCAATTTCCTGAAGCGAGTGCTGAGCTCGCGGCCGAAGAAATTCGGGCTCCTGCGGATCAAAGGGGCAGTGCATCCCAAGAGCTTAAAACTACGGACTGTGGCCGTTCGGTGAAAACGGGCCCTGCGACTTTCTTGTGTGAATGCTCAAAGTTTTGCAGCCCAACAAAGCCTGCATTCGCCACGGGACCTCACTTGCATTTTGGGTCGTCAGAGCCCCATTCGAGCCAAGTTTGCTCTTCTCTCACCCCTTTCTGCCCCCAAAAGCTCTTGAAGTCTTTGCAGAGAAGAACCAGCTGCAAAAAGCCCTCGAGTGGCATCCGTGTGGCTGCATTTCTGAAGGGTTTAGCTGGGGTTTCTGCCATCTCCCTCGGTGTCCTCGAGTGCCCTTTCTCCTGCTCCTCCTTTCCTGCCTCCGCCGTCCGAGCTCCGCACAGTTGTGGCTGGTGCCGACGTCGCAGCCGCCCCAAGGAGCTCGGCTCCCTTTGGATGAGCTCGAGGGAGGAGAGATGTTTTTTGGGATGATTTTGAAGCACGTAGCTATAGGCACGGGATGAGACTTGGGCAGTTAGCAGGCAGCGTGCAAGAGGTGAGTCACGAGGGCAAAACGAGCTCCTACCTTTGCTTTGAGAGGAGTCTGCTTTAAGAGTCAACCTTGCCTGACTTGCTTTTTTTTTTTTCCCCACTCATTTTCATCCTCTTTCTTAATTTTCCCTCCCTTCTCTGTGCTTTCAACTTCATTTTTTCCTGCCAGGAAGTCAGTAAGAATTTGCTTGCACCCGTGCTTTGTGTTATTTCTTAGTGCTGCTTGCGAGGGTGCCTCTGCTTGACTTCGTCCCAACCCCCATGACAAAGATGCTCCTTAAGTCACAAAGTGATATGGTTTCCCTACAGCTGTGGGACGGGCGCCGTTAGCTCCCATAAATGTAAAAATACTACATTTTATCCAACTGGGTGGGGAACCGCTTCACTTGGAAAACTTCAGTTTTTCGAGTCCTTCAGGCTGTAGCAGGTTGGATTAAGAGAATGGGAATTTAAGGCCTGGGAATCCTGTTGGGGATTTCCAGGCAGGTTCCTCCTCGGGAGCTGTTGGTTGGGATCAGCCTGTGGCAAAGAAGATTAGTGCGTGGTGCAAAAAAACCCATGTTAGGTAAAAACAGAGAATCTGGATGTAAAACCTGACCTATGCTAGCTACTGCTGCTTCCATTGCAATCCCTGAGGAATATATTTTGGAAGTCCCTGGGGAAATTACGAGCTAATTTGCTGGTAGCAGGTAGCATAACTGGATGTGAAGTGTGTTTTCTGTGTGCCGTTTACTGCTCCAGGGTCGCTCTTCCTCCCTCAAAAAATAAGGACATGTTTTGTGCTGTGCAGGAGAGGTGGCCACAGAAGTGGTTGAAGCCCTTCTTGTTTGAACGCGGGCGGCTGTTGCAGCGTCGCTTCTTTGGCCGCCAAATGATGTTTGGTGAGAAAAATCATTTTGTGAGTTCTTTGTTTTGCTGTGAAACCTGGAAAGGACCGAGAGCGGAGTGGCTGGGGAGGAATGGGAAGGGTTTGTGCATGGGGAGGGCAGGTTCCCCTGCTCGCCTGCCCCAAACTGGGGGAGTTTCTTGGCTCTGTCCATTGGAACTGCTGCATCCCAGCCCCATTTTCCGCAGAAAACCAGTGCCCTCGTCGAGGGGCCTTTTTGGCTAATGAAGACTCGATGCCGGATAGCTCCACGTCCCAACGCAGCCCAGGCGGAGGCTTTTCAGGAGCTATGGAGCAGGGCACTTACGGAGGAGACCTCTGCGGGTCCCAGCGCTGCTTCTCCTCCAAGGACGTCCGGGTGAAGCCAGCGGCGCGGGAGGGAAGAGAGGAGCCTGCCCGGCCCTCAGCCCTGACCTCGGGGATTACTTAAAGAAGCCTTGTCCCTTGGTCACCCCCGGCGCCTGTGCGGCGCTTCCCCGGCGTCTGTGCCAGGATAAGCTGGTTAAGAGCTCCAGGTAGGTGGTGGCGATGCCACTGCGTGGTGAGCAGTGGGGATGAAGGATGCCCTGTCTCCTCCTCCTCCCCCTTGGACTCGGTGTGTTTGCAGTGCCTCTCTTCGCTTCCCGTTCTGTGGAGATGAGGAAAGTGGAGCCTTTCTCTTCCCTGGGTTTATTGGTTCAGCCCGCGAGGCTGCAGTTTCGTGTTGGGATTAAACAGCTTTCCCTGGGAGTCCACGCTGGCTCCCTGTGCACGGTGGCAACCAGCTTGTGGAAGTGGCAGGAAACAGAACCCATCCAAAAGGAGGCCGGTTTGAATCGGCTTTTTTCCCTCTCCTGGAGACACCAGCTCCGTTCTGCAGCCCAGAGCGATTCCCTTTGGCCCTTTAATGAGAAGGGCCGGCAGGAAGTTTCCACACGGCGCTGGGAGGAGAGGAAGAAACCATCTTTTAAACTATCAGCTTGAGAACCTTTGAAATCTCCCATTCCCTTCCCTGCTCAACGAGCACCTACAAACACGGGAACTGCCGTGTTGGGCCGTCGCACTTGGATTTCTCCCTGGCTGGTGCTGGACTCCGCTCCAGCCGTGTCGCTTGGCGGTGGTAACACAAGCTGTGCACTTCCACGAGCCACACGAAGTGGTAACAGCCGCTCGCTCACTCCCGGGGTTCATTTTGCTGATCCCTCGAGCACCCGTGTCCCGAGTGGGAGCAGGGATTTTCAGCAGGCTGAGCGCAGCATTCCCTAAGGAAGGGCAGTGGGAAGCAAGCGAGCGGGAAGCAGGAAATCATGACAGCTCCACTCCCCCTGGAACCAAATTCTGCAGAAAGATTTGTGTCCGGAGGAGCTAATCTGTAAGCTGCTGCGTTTCCAGCACTGAGATGGAGAACCTGCTGCCTTCCTGCCAGAGCGCCCAGGTGTTTGGATCATCTGGGAGTGCAGAAGGTGACCTGGTGGATGCTGCCAAACTCCAAAAGTATTTGGGGAGAAAAAACACAGCCTCTGCGTCCACCAAAAAAACCTATTTTCATTACAGAAATGCTCTCATTTTTAGTACTTTAAGTTGAGGGAGCAAATGATACCAAATGGGTCGTGCTGCTCGTGATGGGCAGGGTCTTCTGCCCAAAGAAAACACCCGCCTGGAGCATCCTCATTCCCCGCGACCTGAGTCCCAAGGGGGACACCTCCTGATCTGCAGTCAGGTGGCACAGATGAACTTAGGGAAGTTGTAGCAGGAGCATCGAGAGCATCGGAGGTGGCCGATCCGGACAGGCCTCTTGAAGACGAATGGGTCCCGTTCAGGTTCCTAAACATCGTTTTTTTCCACGTCTCAACAGGAGTTTTAATTAGCGCTGACACATCCAGCCATTAATAACACTCCTAAAACGACACGGATTTCTGAGGCTCCGTTGGCATGTGTTCCCCAGGATGCCGTCGTCTCTCCAGAAAGGTCACACCACGAGTTCTACCTGGAGGGACTTGATGAAATCTATTGGCTTTTCCATCACTGCGTAGAGCCCACATAATGTAAAATATGAATAAAAAGCATTATTCATTGAAATTCATTGAGTTAGTTGGAAGTGTGACATAATCTGGGATAAGTGATGCAGTTGCATGCTGCTTGGAGCCGACGCTTTCCTAAAAGTCTAAAATAACCTGTAAATTCGGAGTATTTTGCAGTAGTGTTCAATGCACATAGCGTGAGCCGAAGGACAAAAAAGGCAGCTCCCGTGAGCACTGAGAGGATCCGCTTCAAATTCTTGTTTTACAAATGGCAACAAAAATTTTTGTTTGGCAAATGGCAACTCCAATGGCGAACGTTGGCTCTTTCTCAATTGGTCTTGGGCAGCGCCCCAGAAACCCCAGGATTACGGCTTCAGAAACCTCTTTTATTCTGGTCTTATTGTGATCTTATGTGTTTTCTTGAAGCACTTGACTCTCCAGAAAAAAATGCTGCTGAAAATGAGCTTAGGTGCAAAATGAATCCAGTGGGCCAAAAATACAACATTTTTTGTCCTGTTTGCTCAGAAACAACAGCATGTCAGTGAAACCTGCACCAGCAGAGCCAATTTCCCGTTTTTTCCCGGTTCTCTGTGGCTTAAGAGTGCTCAGGATGTTGCAGTGTTGCAGCTTTGCTGTGGTGTTAGAGCACGAGCAAGGGGAAATTCCTGCAGGGATTCAAGTCCATGCTGTTCCACAGCGCCTTGGCATGCGCCAGCAGACCGTTCCGGTGGGGAATTTTTTCCCGGTCGCTTTGGAGAAGTCTCGGCTTCACACGACCGTCTAATTAAAACGCAGCATCCTGCTTTTATGGCAGCTTTAGGGTTGTAGAAAAATGCTGGGTTTTGCTGGCAAGCGCTGCGCTCCCTCTCCCTGCCTCCCTTCTCCTGCTGCGTCTTTAATCGTTCCCGAAATCTCCCAGCTTGTGAGTGCCGTTGCAGCCAGATGGGGACGGGGTGCAAGTGCTGGCGCAGCCGAGCCCGCTCGGGTTCTGCTGCCAGAAGTGTCTCCGTTATCTGGGTTTTTTTATGGATATATTTCCTGAGCTAACGAGCCCTAGATGGCCATGAATGGCTCGGATGAGCCACTGGCTGTCGGTGCTTCCCTCACTCCTTCCTTGAGCTCCCCAGTCTCTTTCGTGCCGTGCTGGAAGCTGCTGGGATAATGGCCTGAGGTTTGGGGTTAGTTTTTCCTGCGATTCTTGTGCCTTTTCGTGCCCTTTTCCTTAACGCACTGTGTTGCAGCCTGCCCCGAGGCCCCGTGCAGCAGCCCCTCGAGGAGCGGATCTTCACGCCGACCGTCTCCGCCGTGTACAGCACTGTGAGTATCCACGCGCGGTCCCGAAGCCTCGTGGGCTTCCCCACGAAAAGAGCAAGAGCCAAACCTCCCCACACCTTTCCAACACCTCCATTTGCCTCCCAAAGAAGTTCTCGGTGATTTTTGTTGCGTGTGAACACACCATATTGGGGCGAAGTGGGGCAGCTCTCGATGCAACGGGTTGCTGCACAACTCGGAGCATCTTATCGGCAAAGTGAGCTGGGATTATTCGTGTTCAAACCGCCCCATTTGGTGTCGTGGAGCAAAGGAGATACCTGGGCAGCATTCCGTGGAGGTGTTCATGGCTCCCAGTCCAGCGTATTTGTTTATAAAACTTCACGAGTGAGGAAGTTCAGCCTAGAAATGGAGCAGTGTTTATTTGTGAGCATCTGATACCATTTTGTTTTTATTCCTAGCTTTTTCCCCCCCTTTTTTTTGTAATCCCAAATAGCAATAGTTGGAAGCACACTGTTATTTATATGCTCTGCTGTATCAGCACAGCCCTGGGAAAGTAATATTGTGCTTTTCTGGTGGAATAGTGCAAATAGTTTTAATGCCAGAAAAAAAAAAAAAAAAAAAAAAGAAAGCTGTGCTTTTAATTATTTGGAAAACAGGAAGAAAAGCTGTGGATGTGAGAAATTCCCTGTATTTTAGACAGTAACATAAGCTGCTTATAGGAAAACATAAGCTGCTCTATGAGGTTTTCTCCTCCCGGTGTGTCTAAGTAACGTGCAGCACATAGGGACGGACACGTATGTAAAACCAGGGCTGAAGGATGGGGATTTACAGAGTCAGAAGAATCATTGAGTTTCTTTCATCCTCTCCATCCTCCCTGCAGCACTTAAAAGCCACTTGAAGGAAATTAGAATGCCTTTCTTTGTGGGGGAAAAATGTTTATTTTTCATCTTTTTTTCCTCGGGAAAGATGTAATTCAGCCAACTCTGGGAAAATCTGGCTGTAGAAATTTAAATGAATGTAAAATGTAATGGTAACTGTGAGGAATGACCTTAAATAGCTTCTCAGGGTGGAAAAAAATCACTCTTTGATAGGTTACAAGAATAGATGCTGGGCAGGGAGTATCCCTGTGCGAGGCTTTGGGAAAACACAGGTTTGCAAGGCAACTTGCCATTGTAGGGAAAGGGGAGAAATTTCTCTGCTTTGCCCCAAAGCCTTTGGCAAATTGCAGGTTTTGGGTAAGTCCTGGAGAAGATGGATGAGGATGGAGGCTTTGTGGTCAGAGATCAAACTTGTTCATCCCGGGTCCCTGCAGTGAGTACCCAGGTGACGGTGCTGCCTCTTCGAGGGCAGGGCTTGCCACAAATACGTCTTTCTTTTATTTCTAATGTGTTTCATATATGATTTATCTAGCTTTGCAGACAAACATGTGCTACGAAGGTGTTAGATCGTCACTGTACACACCAATGCTGCTTTTCATTCCCGCTTTGTTTGCACAGTTGTCTCTGTGGGTTTCCTCACGGAGGATGCGTTGCAGCTTTTCCATATATATAATTTTGGAGAGGGCTTAGGAAGAGCCCTGTGGTCTCATACCATCTAGTGACTCAGTTCTCGGCGAAACATTAAAAACAAGAGCACCTAACCTGTTGCTAGATAATCTTCATTTGCCTTAGGTAGTATTCTGTGGGAAATACGGATATTTAGTAGTTGTCTTTCAAAATAAATCCCACCACAGAGTTATTTTAAAGCAAATCATGCTCAGGAATAGTCCGATTACTTCATCTTCCCATTCAGAAATAGTGATTATTTAATCTTCAGTGAAATAATCTTGTAATAATTTCCCTGTCAGTATTGGAGAACAGTGTATTTGGATACAGAGATTTAGGGTTTCTTTCTGTAAATGCTTACTGACTCTCTATATGTCAAGAAATTATTTAAGACCTTTATTTATGCGTCTGCTGTAGCATCCAAAACATGCAGCATCTTGAAGAGGAAAACCAGTTTCTATGCCAAAATATTTCCATATCCAGGCAAGTTTGATGCATGTGTTAATTTGGGGCGCCTAGAAGGGTGGGGACGAGTGCGGGGCGCTGGGGTTTCTGCAGCTTTGCTGGAGCTGGGTCTGGTTTGAGTCATCGGGGTTAATTCAGAGGCATCTGCTGAGCCTGTAGGGTGGTTGTGTTGAGTGGTGGTAGCTGAAGACAGGAGCTAAAGGCAGTGGTGGGAAACGGAGGTGCTGAAGGAGCCGCTTCTCTGACGTTTCCAGTTGGGAGACTCGCTTTGAGCTCCCCACGGATGAAGGCTCATGTGGGGCGCTCCTCCTCGCTCCGTTCGAGAGGACCCCTCTGTGCCTCGCGGGGGGTTCGGCAGGGACTCCAGCCTAGCCTGCGTTGGCCTCTCCTGCAGCTGGGGAGTCCGAGCGGCCCCCGCTTCAACTTGGCGCCCGTTGGAGGAGTTGGGCGCCGCCTCCGTGTCCTTTGGAAGGATATTCCGGCAACGAGGAGAATCCCATAGAAAAGAGATTACGCAGGATTAGCCGCTGTCGCCCTCTGCGCTCCAGCTGGAGATGTGAGTCAGGAGGACACTGCCGAGCGCCTCCCGGGAGCCCTCTGCACCAGCCCGAGGGCATTGGGAGCACCTGAAGAGGAGACGTTGCTGCTTCCTGCTGCTTGGTCAAGGGAAGAGAGAAGAATGCTCGAGCACACTAATATTTCTGTATTTGCTTTGTAGAAATATATTCACTGCTTAGGAGACTGATTTCCTTGCTGGATTTGAAAGGTGTATTCGCTTGCTTAAGAATCCCAGATGTGTCCCGTGTCTTGTGGGATGAACAGACCCCCAAACCCCCGGCTTTGGGGGCCAAGCGTTCCAGAACCGATGCAGTGAGCTTGGAGAGTCTCCCTTTCCATTCCTCATTCTGGCACGAGCACAGTGATTTAGCAAGTTCCTCTTTCCTTAGCACTTGTCTCCATCCATAAATCCATGAGCTCCCCTCACGCCTCCGTGTGCCGACACCTTCTCGGGTAGGCGATAACTGAATTATTCAGAGCGATGCCCGGTGTTGGCAGGCAGGGAGTGCTACGTGTTCATCCCGGTGCCTTCCTCGGGGCGAGTGCAAAGATAGGCCTGTGTTTGTGCTCTGTTACGTGGAAGAGAAGAACCCGTCTCCTCTCCAAGGCTTTTCCTAGCTGGGAAAACCCCAAACACGCGAATCTGTAGGGACCGATCTTCTTTGTGTGTCCCCTGAGCAAGGACTGCGGGAGTTCCTCGTGGGAAACTCCGCTAGATCCATAGTGGGTTGCATTTGGCTGTAGTCCGAGCTCCTTGTTGCGTGGCACTCTGATTTAATGCTCGTTCCATTAACTGAGCTTCCCGGCAGATGTTGGGATCTAGACCCATGTCCACAACCCATCGGTTCCTTGTGCAACTCGGCAGCAGCCGGCGCGTTTCGTGGACCACCGTTCCTGCCACATCTCTCCTGCTTCCCCACATTTCCTTCCCAGGTCAGGAGACTTTCCTTGTCATGTTTAACCCCTGACCGGAGTTACTTGCAGTTTTAATTTCCATTTTACTTGTAAAACAGTCACTCTGTGAAGCACTGGCACCACGTCACCCTTCTTGGTTTCGCTGGTCAGGGTGACACAGCGAGAGGCATTCGTGCTTGGAGCAAAAGGGCTTGGGAAAGCACTTAGTCCTGAGCTATATAGAGATTTTTCCACTTTGATTTCCCCTTTCTTATTACAATGACCGTGGAATCAGCCTGTTAGACACTTGCAGTGTAAGGCTGCTCCCGTGGAGGCGAGCCATGGAGCTGTGGGCACAGTTTCCAGTATTTTGCTTCATGTGTCGTGCTGGCGCTCTTCCCTAAAAACCGAGGAGGTGGATAAAGTCCCTGCAGGATTGCTTTGATGCTTCATTCTTTACCAATGGACCAGCCCTGGCGCTGAGAAGCCCTCCGGGCCGCCCTTCAGGAGGGCAGGATGCAGTTTTTCCGCCCATTTGTCGACTTGGCTCCCTTGGCAAAATCGCCGCAGGGTTCAGTTCAGCTCGTGGCTGGAAGAGGAGAAGCTCCTGAGGCTGCAAGTGAAGGGTTATGGCAGAGCAGAGCCGCGGCAGCGCAACACCCGCGCGTCTCCAGCGCTGACTCGAGTTGAGGCCGTTCTTCTCGGGGCCTTCCCCGCTTTCCCAAGACACAGGGACTAACTTGAGCTGCTCCTCAAAACCCAAGACCAAACCCAGAAAGCCGGTGCTGGGGCCTCTGCTAAGAGGAAGGTCACGGCTCTGCAGAGCAGATTACTAATACTGTGTTTTACTAACAGTTTATCTCCACACAGGTAACACAAGTAGCAAGACAGCCGGGTCCTCCTGCCCCGTCCCCTTACTCTGCACATGACATAAGCAAGGGACACCCCAATCTTGCTGCCACGCCACCGGGACACGCGGCGTCCCCTGGGCTTTCACAGGTAAGAGCGGGCACTGGAGCAGAGCTTTCCCGGCCTGCCCTCTTTTCCTTTCTTTGTTCCGGAGCGATTCCTGGCTTCGCTGCTCGAATCCACTGTCTCCGCGCGCTTGGTGGCCGGTGGCTAAACCTTGAGCACGGGATGTGCTCTGTGCTGCTCGAGCCTCGCACCGACTTACAGGCCCCACGGAGGGTTCTTAGCCGTTCATCCCTCCTTGCTGCTTTACTGAACCGCTTGTACTAGCACCAGCTTTAGAAATAACAGTGTCCTCGCTGGAGAGCAACGCGCTTCGCTGCCGGCCGCGGCCATCGCTTTCCTTCCGAATCCTCTAAAAGCGCCGCGAGTCCCTCCTGTCGGGATCTTCCAGCTCAAGCAGTTTGCACGGGAGGCGGCAGCTCCGCGGTTCCCCCTCAAAATGGGCCAGGAAAAGAAATTAGAAAAATGAGTGTTAACTGAAGGAACACGACGAAGGGCTGATAAGGGAGAAAGGGAGGAGGTAAATAGGAGTTATAACAAAGATGGGAGGAAGAGCGTTTAATAGATAGGGGGAATAAATTGGATTTTTGTAGTTTGCATTAGTGAGGAAGTTTACCTTAAAAAGGGAAGGGGAAAAAGAGACAGGTAATGGGGATGCTGGAGGAGATGGGAGAAGAGGGATCGGGGATAGTGGGGTGGGAAAAATATTAAGGATTGAAATGGAGGTAAATTTTGTGGTTTAGCTCTTTCATGTTTGATTTCTACTTGTTGGAGTAAATGCAGTGGTGTGGGAAGATGCGAGTAGGTCGGATATTAAGGAGGACAGTTACGTGGAAGCAGAAGGCAGGAGGACACACTGGATTTCTTGGGAATGGCCGGGAAGGAGGTGGCAAGCGCCTTGTTGTGCTTCCCACTCCTCTTCCTGCCAACCACCTTGATTTGGGTGAAGTGCTTAAACTACAGCCAGCCTTTTTGTGGGAAAAGTGTGGAAACCACTGAGGTCATGTAAGGAACACTTCATATATATGTGTATAGGAGCATGTATATAATACACGTGGTAACTGGTAAATACTGGCTCTGGTCTGAAGACCGAGCATCACGTAGCAAAGGAGACAACATAAAAAGTTGTCTGGCCTGTGTCATGGATTGAGAAATTCATCCCTGGGAAGCTCGGTGAGCCCAGCAGAGCTAATGGTGTGGCGGATAAGAGGGGAAAAATGGGCATGTTCTAGATGGCCTCTTCAGTAATTCTTCTCGAGCTTCTCTTCCCTTGATATTTTCCTGTTGAGTCAGTGCGTACGTAGGGAGTGGGACGGGTGCCAAGCCAGCATCCAGGCAGGCAGGAAAAGGCTGCTTTCCGGCACGGCTCGGGCCGAGAGCGCCCAGCGCTAGCAGTGGGTTTGGGTTATTCCTTCCCCTCGTGGGCACTTGCTCCCCTCTCACCCCAGATGTGGTCAGTATTGCGGGATCCCCTCGCTTGACCCTCTCTTTTGCAGGTGGAACCGATGGTGACACTCAAAGTGGGCTCTGTTTTGTGCCTTCAGGAGCCTTCAAATAGGCACTTAGAGTGTGACCTGGCCCCAGAGACCAGTTTAATTAACTTGATGTTATTTAGAGGCTTGGGTAAACTTCTGAGAGGTCGTGACACTAATTTTGATTATTCTTACGTACGTATCTCACTTTGGCCCCGTCCAATGCTGCATTTCAGTATTAAGCTCCGATAGTGCGTTCTGCAGCACACAGGGTTGACTTGGTTTGCTCCTCCAGTGCAGTTGCTCTTTTCACTTGTTTCTAGCCCCATGAAATCTCACTATTTTGAGATAAAGGGACCGAGCAGACGTGGGCCTGCAGACAAATGGCTTCCCGCTGGCTTTTCTCGCAGCAATTCAACATTTCTCTCTCAACAATATAACAGCAGTGCCCGGGTGAAAAGCTTGGGAAGGTGAGACCTCAGTTAAGCTAGTATCTGCTCCCGGCGTGGACCTTTTCTTCCCCAGAACCACGACTGAAGGAATTTTCTTAAACCCGAATCTTTTCAAGGTAGGAGCCTCGCTAGCCATGCAGATACACACTCAAATAGATATTTTTCAGCCTCAAATATCACTTACAGTTTGAAGTGAGGAGTTTGCAGAGGCAGAACTGTGAAAGCAGGAGATATTTCTCGTGGAGGAGGAATGTCAAGGACAAATGTATGTTGGTGCCTATGCAGCTGGCTTTCCTCTGACTTTAAATAACCAGAAATGGCTGATTTTGTGCAGTGCTGCTGCTTGGTGCATTTTTTTCCACTCGTTTTTCTACCTTTTGCAAATAGAGTGAGGGGCTGTCTTGTTGTTCATCTTCTTCGTGAGCGTTTCCTAATGCTGAGCCCCGGGCAATGTGCTACCCTCCCAAACGAGGTTCTGCAGCAAAACTAGAGGATTTTGGAGGCAACGAGGAACGTTTCCTGGCCCCCAACCTGCAGCGCAAGCCGGCGTTCCTGCTTCCCTCGGCCTTCCCAAATTCCACAGCCTTGAAGTCATCATCCCGCTGCTGCCTGCAAGGCGCTGAGCTCCGTGCAACTACGTAGCACGTGTTGCTGGAGAGATGATTCCATCAGGAGAAACAACTTCCCTCCCTCCCCAAGGGCCACGGGTGTTTTGGAAGGTCCCAGGGAACAAGCGCAGCAGATTTTGGCTCCCGCAAGGGGAAGGGGACGGAAATGCTCCTCCGTTTGGGTGGCATTTGGGTGGCATTGCAGGCCCCCATTTGGCCCACGCCACTTGACTTTTGAGCCTTCTTTGTTCTACTTCTGTATGTCTAGGTCCAATTTCTTCCAAGTACGTGTCCTTAATGCAGGTTTCTATATTGCAGGAGTACATGAGTACAGCTCTAGCTGTGAGAATAGGAGTTAACTGGTGATAAATGGAGGAAAAGCGTGATCTGCCTTTGCTTTTTGTGGCAGACCTGTGGAAGGTACATCTGAACTTGCTTTTGTAATCAGATGGGTAGTTTTGATGGGTTTAGCAATGTGAGCAATATTTGCTCATATAATTCATTATTTACCTATGCATCGCTGTGTGTTTTTTACCTCCTCAGATAAAATCTGTGCAAACCTGAGCTGTGGAAACCACAAATGTGTCTGGATCTCAACAACAGCCGGGTTTTCTGGTGTCTTTTGTGCTTCTGGACATGCAGTTAACTTCGTGGGGTTGAGGTGGGGTGAATGAATTGATTTTAGTATTCCTGCCCTGGGAAGAGCGCCAAACACGGCTGCCTTTTCCTTCTAGCAATAAAGGGGGAAAAATGAGGTATCTTCCCCAGTGCGTAATACCTGTCTGTGTGTGCCCACATACAGTGATCTGTTTTCCTGCTCCTGGATGGAGGGATTGAGCATTTAAGAAGGAAGTAAAAGCCCTTCTTTGGGTGTTTTAACATCTCCCACATCCCAAAATACTGTAGGGTAACTTCCCCCACGTTTGCCTGCTTGGACACGCAGAGCTAAATCATCGAAAGCCATAAAGGGGCCATTAGGAATTTAACGGTAATGACACAGATGAGCGGCCCTGAGATAAACGGCGAGGAGTGGAGAGAGCAGAGGCTGAGCCGCGGGAGCAGCAATTCCGAAAGGAAATTCCCGCGGGATGGTGCAAGTGCTGGCGCTTGGGCTGCTGCTTCCCCAGCACCAACTGGGTGAATCTCTGAACCCCGCCGAGAGGTAAAACCCTCTTCCTAGACTGAGCCACCTTGAGTGGAGCCTGCTGAGCTGCCTCTCACGTATGTGGCTTTCTGAGGCTTTGGAAAAAGCCAGAATATTTAAACAGAGCCACTAAGCAATCCCGGTTCCTGTTGCTTTCCTTCCAGATCAAAAACCTTGAAGCTTCCTGATGAATTTTCTGTGCAAAGACTCTGCTCCCGTTGCACAGGCTGTGCTTTTTCATGGGAAGCAGGGATTTGTGCCATCAGCTGCAGCTCCGTGTCAAACGGGAAGCCTTGAACCCACATCCCCCGTTGGGTGCCGCAGAGCAGCTGTGCTTATTTGCACCATTGGTTTTAAGGGGACTTCTTGAATATTCAACATGCTGCGTACCAATATCTGCAGCAAAGCGCAGGGCATCCTTTGCATCTGGAAACTGGCCGCCAAGCAGCGCTTGTATTTTATTTCACAGAACTGCTGTGATCGGTACGATGCTGAGCTCGGTGGTGCCAAATAAATTGCAAATTTGTCGCGATTTACGGTTGAAATTCTGGAGGTGGTGCATGGAGAGGGGCACATTTTGGATGGGGAGCAGCCTTGCAGAACGGGGGCTGCATTTAAGCAGAATCCTCTGACTCTGGGTGGGTGAAGCGCGATTGCGAGCAATGAACGTCAACCCAGGGAGCGTTTAGTGAGGAATTGTCCGTGTTTATTAGCTTAATCATTGTCAGGCTATTTTTAAAGCTGTAGTGCCGGCAGGGCGCAGGAGTAGCGTGAGAGTGTTTCCGTGCATCTCCTTAGAGAAGCCTGAGCAACAAATGCACTGAGTAACTGTGTCTAGCTTGCTGTGCTGTGTTATATTTGCAGATGAGCCAGGTTTTAGGCAGTGCACAAGGTGATCTTTTTCTCCGCGCTAACATCTCACATCCTACAAGTCGCTGCAGGCAGCAGCATCCGGCACCTTGGGGCGCCAGCAAGGAGGAACATCCACCCGGATCATCCGGTTCCTGCGCTCCTGAGCGCAACTCCAGGCGTCTTGCTTGAAGCAGCTGGTGTCCGTAAGTCCCTGCCTGGGAAAAGCTGCAAAAATTGCGATGCAGACAGTTGCCCACAGGCTTCTGTGCGAGGGCCCAAAGCAGCACGGCAGGCCAGAGGCTTTGGGAGCAGGTGGCTCCGGCCTTGGGTTTATCTTCCACCTTTGCAGCCGAGGTGCCTTGTCCACTATTTTTACCTCTTTATGTAAGGAGCAGCCCGGACTCGGGGGCTGCTCCGGCCTCGCCGTTCCCTTCCGGCACACGCAGTGCCCGCAGCGTCGGGTTTCACCGCCGCCGCCCGCTGTGTTCCAGCCTGCTCGCCAGCCCCTCCACCAAGAATAACTCTTCTCCTTGGCGATTTTTGCCTTGTGCAACACAAGGGAAAACACGGGAAAAGCATGGCTTTCCCGCCAGCCATCAGCAAGCCGAAAGAATCCCTACGGACACGAACGTTATCCGTGGAGAGCCACATCCAAACGTAACGTTGCTGCAAGGGAAACTTGAAGACAGGCAGATGCTCTGCCCGGGAAGTGGAGCAGCTCCGCAGCTCCGCAATTCCCGACCATCAGAGCTTGCGGGGCAATGCTTAGATACTTCCAGCGGGAGAACGGGATACATAGCAGCAATGGCTTCCCTGCTTTTGCCTCCCCAGCAGTTTATTGAGGAAACTGCATTGTCGCCAGTCCCTTCGTGTGTCTCTGAGATGTGCAAAGCCACATTTCTCCTGTACCTACTTAGCTGCCTGGCACGGAAAAAGTCCTTCTGACAGCTGAATCCACGGCAGACTTTTAATCAGCCCACCTGTCTGCAAAGCGAGGGATTGCTCTGATGTATTCAGTTGCTGGTTTGATATTTTTTTTCCTCCCTTCTTTTAAGCAACCATGTACTTATACGAGAACCTCGTACCCACAGCCGCTTATAGAGGTTTTCCCTGGGGAAAGAGGCTTTTCCCTGTGGGGCCGAGCATGCTGAGTGGATGTGCTCATGCTTGGGTAATGGTTGTGCAACGTGTTTGTTTAGCTGCTGGCCCATCCCTTCTGCCAGCATCGGGGTTGCCCTGGCCAAAGCATTTCTAGACAGAAATCCCTTCCCTAACTGCTCTTATATATCTGGTCTTTGGGAAGAACATGGAAGTTGGATTTAGATTTCTTTTTTTTGCGTGCAAATTGAACTCTTTCCCCACATCCTGAACTGAGAGGAGGGAAGCGAGCCCCAAAATAGTGTGAAAATCAGGTGGAAAATAACTGAACTTCCTGCGTAGGTGCCTAGTTTGAGATGCCCAGTGATTTTCTTGAGAGTGGTCTAGAAGGCAGCAGCAGTGTGAGGTAACGTGGCTGTAGGTTGTTGGAATGGGGCAACTTTTGGGTGATTATTTGGCACCGTCATTCCCTGCCACTGCAGTTGTGGTTTTTTTTTTTTCTCTTCCTGAGACTGGAGAAATCCCTTGGTTCATAGTCTTTCTGAAATGTATTTGCATTTGTTTTGTCTGAATTGGAATCGAGAGAAGCTCAAGCTGGACTTTAATATCCAGAGGGGAAAAAGAAGCAGAGAGGAAGAGCAGAAAGGCTGGGTCTAAAGCATGGGCGCTCCATGGGAGACCCACACTCAACCATTTCCTTCCTCCTTTGAGCTTCTTGTGGCTTCATTTTGGTTCATCCACATCCCCCTGCCAGGGACTGCTCACAGGGAGAGCATCCCATCACATCCAGCTTATTCTGTAGGGAAATGTCTTATGTTGCTTTTGCATCCTTAAAAAAGCGCATCAGGCTCTGTCTTGTAAGGAGTTGGGTGTGAATCCTGCCTCGATGGCTGTAAAATTACAGTGACAGGGGGTGACACGAGCGCAGTGGTCCCTTTGTCGGGGAGGCTGTGTCCGTCCCAGCGGAGCGGACACCGCGGAGGGTTAGAGGCTGGTTTTCTGCCTGTGTGGTAATAAGCTCTAAAGAAAAGGTAAGTTATAACATCTTGCTTAAAAGATGACAGAGCCCTGGCACAGGCTGCCCAGGGAGGCTGTGGAATCTCCTTCTCTGGAGATCTTCAAAACCCACCTGGATGCCACCCTGTGTCCCGTGCTCTGGATGTCCCAGATGGAGCAGGGGGTTGGACTGGATGATCTCTAGAGGTCCCTTCCAACCTTAATGATTCTGCAAAGATCCCTTGGAAAGGGAATTCTCCAAGTTTCCATAAAACACACAGCTGGCACAAGTCCACGGCGCACGGAGCAGCATTCGGAAGCGCGGGCCGTGCTTCGTCACCATCCCGGTGCCGGGGACGGACGGATTCGGCACCATGACAGAGAGGTCCTTCCACACGCAGCTTTCATTAGCAGCGCCGGCGGCGTGGCTGTCGGGGATGGCTAATTTGCAGCGCTCGTGTGCTTCTCTTCCCGGCAGGCTCCGTACCCCTCAGGACAGAATGCGGCTCCGACCACGCTGGTGTATCCGCAAGCCCCCCAGACCATGAACACGCAGCCTCAGACCCGCTCGCCGGTAAGGACGCCCGCGCCCGCGCTGCCCCCGCTCCGGCTGCGTCTCCGGCACCGCGAGCCCCTTCCCCGCGCCGAGGCCGCGCTGCCGTTTCGGACCTTGTCCCCTTAGCAGAACGTTCCAAGCGGCTTCTCGGAGCAGCAGTGGCGGCGGAGGGCTTCTCATCTGCTTTCAAATAACACGATTTATTTTTAGCGCAGTCTCCTTCAGGTTCGCTTCATTTTAGAACTTAGATTCATTACCAGAATCTTTCTCTTTGCTTCACTTTTTTTTCTCCTTTTTTTTTTTTTTCTTTTTTTTTCCTCCTCCTTTTTTTTCCTTTTCCTTTAAGGAAGTGTTTTGGTAAAGTGCTAGAGCAAAGCTTGGGAAAGGGAACGTTCAGCGCGGCACTTCTGGCCGCCCGCATCTTTTTTTTTTGAGCAAAGCCCTTTCTCATGCGGCCTTGGGCTCGCTGGAGCTTCCGGATCTTTTGCGCCTCCGTTGGTGTCTCCCTCGGGGTTCCCTTCCCCGGGGAGGTCTCTGCTCGCGGCGCACGTCCCCGCGCGCCTGCGCCCGACACCACCGGTTAGAGCAGCCGGCCCCGGGGCTCTTGCAAACCCACAATCTGTGTTGTAACCCTTCAGGCTGCCTTAAAACACACACAAAAAGTCCCCCGAAGCCTGCCTTGTTCCCAGCGCTCCTCCCTTTCAGAGCAGGACGGGCGCTGCTGGAGCGAAAGCCCCCGTGACACCAGCCCACGTCACCAGCTCTAGTGCAGGGCAGGCTCCCGGCGCGCTCGCTCCGGCTGGAGCTCGCAGGAGGGTTAGGTGACATTTCTGGGCACAACCAGACCCTCCTCCCCAACCCCCTTATCCCGCTCAGTAGCGCGGGATATACCGGTGGCTCCCAAAGCAAGCAAACCAAGCTCTTGTGTCTCAGTAAGTATAATCCTCTTCTTTACCTTTAACTGTTGCAAAGCGCAAATAAATTTGATAACGGTTAGAACTGGAGCAAAACCTGACTGAAGAGCTGCATCTCTAAACCAGTTTTTTTGACAGCCCAGCAGAACAGTGCCAATACATTGCACAGACAACTGGAAGAGGAGGAAGGTTTTGGAACAGAGTCCGGTTTACAGGTCCCTGGCTGGAAGAGGCTGGATAAAATACTGCATTGTAAGCAATATAACAAACTGTACTCCTTCTTGCAGGCGATTGTGCCCAGGGCACCGTTATTGATTGATTTTCTTTTATTTATTTGATTACCACCTCGTTTTGTTGGCTGATGGACAGAAATGCACTGATTTGCCTCTTTGCCTAAAACGCATGAGCTGCCGTGGCAGTTTGTGCCGGGTGGAAGCAGTGGGAGAACTTCCAGAGCCCAACGCGGCCGGAAGGGTCCGATCTGGTAGGCCAGAAACCAGGGCCACTTTGGGGGTTCCCCCCTCTAACGTTTTCCGGAAAAAATGGCCACAAATGTGTTAAAATTGTAGGGATCCGGCCCCGCTCTCGAGGAAGTGTTGAGGAAGAATCTGTCTGCAGTTGTCAGCCATTTTTCTGTGCTCACGAACGACTTTTATTTGAATTTTTGTTTTTAAATCTCTCCTGTTTGCAGTTTTGGCCATCCGCTCTGCTAGCGCCCATCTCCACCCCCATCACTAAAAGCCGTGCACATAACATTTCATTCCACCTCCCCACCCCAAAACGAATGCAAGACTAGCTGGGCCCAAACTACTCTTGCATTTGGTTCTGGGCTCAATTGACATCATTTATTTTGATTTTTTTATAAAACCTTTTTTTTGTTGTTGGTTTTTTGTTTGTTTTGGTGGCGAGGGGAGGGGGAAGAGGGGAGGAGGAAGGCAGCGGGATAATGCCGTTTGCCCCCCGGCTCTGTAGCGTAGTCCTGGCCGGCCGCGGCTGGCTCGGCACCGGCGCGCGGGGCGGATTTTCCGGCACAGAGGTGATCCCAGCACCCCTTCGCGCCTGTGGAGCCTCCAACACGCCCTTTCTCCGGGAAAGGGCCGTTGGCAATCGCACAGTCCAGGCTTTTCCCTTCTTTCCTGGACAGCTGCCTTTGCAATCCAAAAGACTCCGTGTATTTTTCTCAGCTAGTCTCCCAGTGTCAATTCTCTTTGATACCAGGAATTCCTAAGGTCTTGCCCAAGCTGGGAGAAAACAAAGCAAAATCGGAGCTGCAAAATGAGCCCCTGGGCTGGGGGCAGTGAGTTCCTGGTTGTAACCAGGGGTTTTAACACACTCAACCCAGGAGATGCATCCAAACCCACCATCGGAGAGCGGGGATCCAAGCGGCTCCCAGAGAAATGGATATTTTGGGACAGTCGGAGAGCACGCCCGGGTCCCAGCAGGAGCGCGGAGGGAGTAGAAAGGCTGGAGGTTTCGTGCAGAAGTTTTTCCTTTCTGTCTACTCCCTGCACCCGAAAGCAAAACCAAAGTCCCGTTTGAATCCGAGCCAGCAGTGACTACAGTTTGTTCTGTTGCTTACAGCCACTACTAGGAATAAATCCTGTTCATCTGAATGATTGAAAACCAAACCAAACCAAAAGTTAATAGCCAGTGGTGACCAGTGATTTTTCACCAAGTTGGAGGCTTTGTTTTTTTAATATATATTTTTAAGTTATTTTTCTTTTGTAACACATCACTTTTTTCCCATAGAATACACTTTAAGATGGAGATTTCCAGCTCTTTATTTTCAACGCAGTGAGAATTAATCTTTTCTGTGGAGCAAAGATAGATACTTTGACTCTAAAGTAGATCAGCCCAAGGATTTTTTGCAGCTCATTTAGAGCTTTTGGAAAACATTTGATGATGATGATTTTTTCTTCTCCATCGGTGGGTAGCGAGGAGTGCATAGCCGCCCAGGAAAGACGTTGGGGCGCCCTGGCAGGGGAAGCATCGCTCCTGATTTGCCAACACGAGGCAGCGTTCGTGGAAATTAAACTGATTTTGAGGAAGAAAAGCTCTTGAAATGTAGTTTGGAGTCATGAATGTTTCTGGTCGCAGTAGGCTGTGATCAGCCACTGGCCTCTTTTCCCCCATAAGAGTTGTGGAAGAGAAAGCTGAAACTGCTCAAATTCTTCTGTCTTGCGATTGCTATTAAAGGTTTTTGGGTGTTAGTGCTACGAGTTGATGTGCTTTGAGGCTCTTCTTACCTGCCAGGTTTAGGAAGGATGTTTTGAGGGTGTCTCCTAGGGGTGAAAAACCTATCACTCGTGAATCAGTGCAGGTTCTTCTGTAGACACAGTCTCTGTTGGAGTGTTTTCCTTTTTCTGAAGGTTTTTACGACCTTCCGTGTGGGTGCCAGGATGAGAAGCAGGTCGATGGGATACACGAGCACTGCGGGAGACTCCGCTATTAGCAAACTACTCTTGGAAATCCAGCATGTAGGCAAGGAAAATAATCATTAAGGTGAAAATCAGCTGAATCCATGAACCTTTATCCTTTTGCCTCTGTTTGGTGGCGTCAAAGTAGTTGAAAAGAAGGGCTACAGGTGAACCCCACGCCACTCTCCATCCTGATAAAAGTCCTTATTGGGAAAATTAACAAGCAGGAGTCAGGTGTGGCCACTAAGGAGGGACAGCTGAAGCAGCCCCGGTGTTTTCGGAGGGCCGGCGCGCGGGACCGTGCGGAGGTCCCGGCGCCGAGCGCTGCCGCTCGCGTCCCGCACCCAGCCGTCAGCCCCAGGGCCTGTGAGGAGAGGGCGCCTCGTCATCTCCCTTTGTATTTTCCATCTCTCGCCTTCATTTTGATTTCTCTCGTTGCCACTCGGCTCCTCGGCGGTGAGCAGGGTTTCGGGCCGCGCGGCTTCTTGGCGAATCCCGGCGGTGCCGGAGCGGCTCGCGCGCGCCGGTGCCGCGGTGGGCGCGCGGGGGGGGTTCTCACTCTCTGTGCCTTTCCTTTTGTGGCCGGTTCCGCCGCCTTGCCGCAGTTCGCAGCGGGGCCTCGACCTGCCCATCACCAGGTACGGTACCCGGCGCGTCAGGGCCTCCTCCGAGGGCTCCGGGGGGGACGCGGGCGGCCGGTGCTCCCCCACGAAGGCCGAGGCGGCTCCCTGCCCGTAGCGGAGCGTGCCGGGCACCGGCCGCGCATCCGTCGGCTCTTTGGAGCTGCTTGGGAAGCTGCTCCTGCCCTAAGGCCCCTTGCGAGCTTGGAGCAAGGCCAGGGGCGTCTCCGATCCGTTTGGATTCGGGTGTGATGCCGTTTCCCGCTCGCTATGCGACAGAGGCGCGTGTAGGAGTCTTCGTGGCGTGACTTGTTCTCGCTTGGCCTTCGATCAGGGGTTAGAAAGTCAGGATTTGCTTCAAAGCCTGCGGTCTGGTGCTTCGTAAGGATGGGCCTTGTTCTGGAGAGCCGCTCCTGCTCCCTCCGGTGTTCCCGAGGGAGTGGGGATAGGCTGAGCGGAAGGAGCCAGGCTGTTCTCACCACTTTAGTGGGAGAAACTCCGACTCCAGCAGTGTTGGGGTGGCTGCTTCGTCTCAGAAAGTTTGTTTTAGGGGGAGCTGCCGTTTTCGTCTTGCGTCCCTCCCGGTAGTCCGAGCAGTTTAGTACTGCAGAGCCCTGAGCGCCCTGGGGGAAGGACAGGCTCGGGCAGCAGGTGAGTCCAACAGTGGGCACGGGTGCCCCAAAAGCACAGAACGAGATCTAAAAAGCAGAACGGGGCATCCGCGGGATGGCACAGCGGAGCAGGGAGCATCGTGCTGCGATACCTCGGCGCCCTCTTTGTTTTGGGAGACCCCGAGGCGGTTCAGAGCCTCGTTGGCTCTTCCATAGCTTGATACCGAGACAAGTCATGGATATAGTCAGTGGGAACCATGTTTCCGTGTAAAAACACGACCCTCCCAGCAACCTGTTGCAGCCCAATGCAGGCTTTTGGACTGGAGCTTTTATGTACTTTTTGCTAATTCTGTGTCTCTTCCTGTGAGCGATTGGATTATTCTTCAATGTTGCTTCCTGTGGCTATTACAGCTTTAGAGCCCTCAGATCAGCACAATTTAAGCACCTGACGCTGGCTGGAAGCCTCATAAGCCCTTTCTGGCTTATAATTGTGCTAGTTGGCTGGTGAGGGCAACCCAGCTCAGCTTGAGGTTGCAGCCGTGGCTCGTTCTGGTTTCAGCCTGGGGTTATTCGAGTGCTTTGGAGCTGACACACCAGCGAGCTGGATTCGACCAGGAGTTGTTGCTCTGATCCCATCTGTAAATAAGTGTAAATAATGCATACCCGGTTAAGGAGCTTGTGATTAGTTGAAGTTCCTTTTTGTCCTCTCCTTTATTTTTCAGGGAAGTTTTTATCATCCATAGCAAGCTGCTTTGCAGGCACCTTGTTCGAAGCTTGGGAACAGAGAATGGAGGAATAAGCAGAAAATCAGTCAAAATGCCCTAGAGGTTTATTGAGAGATTGGCCTTCTTGATGATTGATCTTGGTGACAAATGTGGTCCCTCTCATCTGGCCTCCAACCCCTGTTGGACATGGGGTCACCTGGGGAGAAAGCTGAGCTGGAGATGATGATGTTTAATAGAAGGATATAAGGTATATATTAAAAAACGGACTCAATGTCAATGGCAGGGAGGTTGCTGGATTTCCATAGTATTTGTGCTCACTGTGGTGAACAATCAAAGCCTTTCCAAGAAGGGACTTGATGGCTTGAGGAGTGGGGTAACGGGACAGTGCTCGGTGACACAGAGCGGTCAGGGAGCGGATGGTGACGTGGAGCCCGTGACTCAGTTCTCCATCGTTAGACGTAACAGGACTCTGGTTGCAGAAGGGTGTAGTTGGGGAAGGGTTGGCGTAACAAGGGTTTTCCAACCAAAGCCGTGCTGGGGACAAAGGGACCTTAATTTTGGCCTTGACCACATGCTGTATGCAAATCCTGTGGCTTTTGTAAGTTTTTGGATGAAATTGAGGCAAACCCCTTTAATCCCCTTGCGTGGGATGTCATTGGCACTGCTGGAAAATGTTGCCCGCGCGCCCATCCGCTTGACGTCACAAGACAAATCCATGAGCAGACGGAGTCGGAAGAGCAAAATGTTGTGGTTGATTTAGAGCGTGACCTTGGTACGTGCAGCACAGGCCAAGTTCCCCGTGCCCTGTTGTGCTGGTTTGGCTGATGCTGGAGCCGGTCGCTCCCCTGGTTTCCTTTCCCTACCAGACTCTTCTCCCCAAGCAGTTGCCTTCTCGTGAGTCGGGTCACGTTGTCCCCTGTGCTGGTAACAGTCCTTCCTGCGGATTATGTGCCGTGGAAGCGACATCCTTGTGTTCCTCTTCCAGTCACACGTGGGTCCTGACGCAGGGAGTCATCCCTCTGGCTTTTCTGGAGATGTCATTTAGTGTGGGAGCAACCAAGGTGCCGGGTGGTCCTCAGCAATGCCAGCACGACCGTTTTAATGTCATTGTCATGTCAAGTCTAGCTGCATCCTTCTGCCCTACCCCTTCTGCCCACCTCATCTTCCCTCAGGGCCCAGGCAGACAAGCCCAGCTCATTCTTCCATTCTTTAATAATTACCACACTTCTCTTCTCGCTACTCATGATATAGTTACCTGCAGATTACTTGCATACACTCCATCACTCAGCAGTCTTCTATGTCAAGTGATGTACCTTTTTCTTTGTTTCTTTTTTCCCTTTTTTAATATTTTTATTTATTATTATTATTACTATTATTATTATTTGCTTAACAATTAAATACATGGAGCTTCTTATTCTTCCAGTCTTGGTGCAGAAGTGGAGACCAAATCCATGCTCTGTGCCTGGGTTATTGCTCCTGTCCACTCTCTCTGTGTCACTCAAAAGAGACCAGAGAGGAATAGAAAAATGTCTTTACGATTCAGAAATAGAGTCTTTCAGTAGTACCCTGTTTCCTGCAATTAATTATGTCGATGGTGTTTTGAAATTTTTATATTTCCATATAAAACTTCTGTAGGAGGGTTTCTGTCCCCTGACTTGGGATTCTGGTAGAAGAGCCCTCGATACCGATCCAGTCTCTTTCTTGCTGTTTCTGTAAGGGATTAGCCAAAGCGCGATAGAAAGACTGGAATTGTGTGCAGCGTAGGGTGCATGTTATGTCCTGTGCCTTCCGACTGATCTGTAAGCTGTTCCATTGGCTTTCTTTCTGTTTCCTGCTGCTTTCTTGCTTCGTTATTGAAGGGAGGATTCAGACCCATACAGGTAATTTTATCTCCTGATTCTGCATGGCCTGAGTGTCTCTTTATCACTTGCATCGTTAGCACGGTAGCGAACGCGTAGATGTCGGATGCACATCGTGCTCGACGGAGATCCGAGATTGCAGAGACGCCGGTGACCGGAGCGGAGGTGTCCGGCGCCACGGATGCTCCACGCCACGAACGCCTTCCCAGGGCCTTTCCCAGTGCTGGGAGCAGAGAACCGAACGGGTGCCAGCGGCTTGTGCGGGGTTCCTGGACCGGTCCCGCTCTCGTGGGCAGCCCTGCGGGCAGACACTGTAGAAGAGTTGGGTGCCGCTCTGGAAGAGGTTGCCATCCTTCGGAAAAGACGCGTGGGGCACGTTGCCCATGGCAGTTTGAACATGGGATAGATGTGAGGCGCCTCCAGCCTTCACAAGGGCTGGATCTTACCTTTTCTGGACTCATACCAGACCAGTTGCCTTGATCTTTTACTTCCTTAGCCAGTTTATAGGTGGCTTCTGGCAACAAACCCGTCTCACAAAAATGTGACAAAAATCATTTTTCCCACTGTCATTCTGAAAGGTGGCGGTGTCTAATTCAGTAGATACAAATTAGTAATTGAGTTTAAAGTTTCTCTTAGCTTTTGCTGTCTTTCTCTCTCTCTGCCACGTAGACTTGGTGGTTGTAGCGTGATCTTGGTATTTGCAGATCCAAAGAGATTGTCCTGCGGTCTTCCGAATGTGTGGCAACCTTAGGAGGTAGCATCGGAACCACGGAATGGTGTTGCCTGCTGTTGTATTGAGATTGTAAACACTTTTGGAGAAAACTTGACCCTTCTGTCTGTCTGTTCCTTCTCTTCCTCTCTCCCTTTCCTACCCCAGTTTTTTCAGAGGCCTCAGATCCAGCCTCCGAGAGCCACCATCCAAAACAGCAGCCCTTCCATCCGTCCCGGCGCGCAAACCCCCACCGCTGTCTATCAAACCAACCAGCACATCATGATGGTGAATCACCTGCCGATGCCCTATCCGATGCCTCAGGGCCCCCAGTACTGTATCCCGCAGGTAAGGGATCATCCAGGCACCTCCGAAACCGCGGAGCAACCCTGACTCACCCGGGTTTCACTCGAGACCTTGCAGCAGAGCTGGGGAGAGGGGAATAAAAGTGCTGGTTGCCCAGTCAGCAACTGCTGCCTTTGGCAATCTGATTTGTATTGATTTTTTTAGGGGGTGGGAAAAGCTGCCCCATTGCTGTTTCTGTCTACGTTGTCACCCAACTCTGGTCAACTCGTAGTGTTTTTTCCTCTCCTAGTATCGTCATAGCGGCCCGCCATACGTTGGGCCCCCACAGCAGTATCCTGTTCAGCCACCGGGACCGGGCCCCTTTTATCCAGGACCGGGTCCTGGAGAATTCCCTAATGCCTACGGTGAGTTCTGGTCAGGGACTTTCTGGGTATGTTTTTTGTGTTGTCAGGTTGAGGGTTTATAACACCAAACTGGATGAGCATTGGTGTGAGCTTCGAATAGCTGCTTAGTTTGTTGTGTTGTGGTCCTTATTGTCTCCAGAAGAATTCAAACAGGGTTTGGTTCCGTGAGTGTTTGCAGAACGGTTCCAACTCCATGTAATCACATGTAAAGAGGCTATTTGTTATTCCCTGCTCAGTGATTATTATTTATTAAGATATTGTGAATACGTCTGCCTTCCCTGGTTCCCACTGATCTGTGCCAGCAGCCCTTGACTCCTTCAGGACCTCATGGTCTCATCTCGTTAGGCTGCTGGTGGCTGATAGACCTTGGGTGTCCCCCTCCAGCTGTTCTCTTAATTGTTGGTTTTTCCAATCAGCCGGTGTGTGATGGCCCAGGTGTCTCACAGCTCCTCTTTGGGCTGCAGGGCAGGAGCTCAGCCCTTTTCAAGGGGCACCTCCACGCACTTGGAAGGTGGCTTGAAGCCCTGTACTGACATTAGCCCTTGATAAAACATGATAGGAGGTTGGAGAGCTGTGGTTTTGTGTTGTGGATGCTGTGGTTTTGAGTGGATCTGCCTCCCAAAAGAAGGGCTGCAGGAGCAGGCGAGCAGCTTCTGCTTGGCTTTCTCTCCTCTGCAGACAAACTGATTTCTCTTTCTGTGTCGTTGCCTTTCCCCAGGAACACCTTTCTACCCGAGTCAGCCGGTGTATCAGTCGGCGCCCATCATAGTGCCTACACAGCAGCAGCAGCCTCCGCCAGCTAAGAGAGAGAAAAAAACGGTAAGTAAGGGCTCTCTCCCTGCTGGCAGCATCCTCTCGGAGAGATGTTCTGCTTGTGAGGCCTGGATATTGAATAAAATCACTGGTCTAATATCCTGAGTTTGAAATTGAGCTCTCTGTTCACATCAAGGCTATTTTTCAGCCTTCTTCAGTTACCTATAACAGCACACGGTGCTGCAGCAGTCTCTTATTTTCAGTTTTCTCTTGGAACTTTTCTCTGTGCGTCTGAGACATCTCAGCCAGGTGGATATGGCAGTATTTTTGCCAGTTCTGTATGAAACAGAAACGAAGGCAGCATGTGCATCCTCAATTTAGCATCGTGCACGCTAAATGATCAAAAAGGTGACAGCTTTACATCGCACAGTTTGTTGTGCTGGTTGGAAAGCATCAACTTGCAGCATCTGCCTAGTAAGGATCAAATGAGTTGACTAAATGGTATGTGAGCAGGAATCGAGGAACTTAGAAGAAAATGCTGGGATCAAACCAATAATATTGCTGTTTCTCTCAGACATGATGTTTCTCTCCAGTCCAGCCCCTAACACGTGTTGCAGCTGAGGAAATAAGAGCAATTAAAGCAGCTGTAACATTTGTAAATGCGTATGTGTGTATGTCCCCGCACTAGTGAGCTGAGTATTACAGTACTACAAGCTTCCAGGCGGGACAGGATGTTTCCAGGCTCTTGACTGATCCCGTGTTCAGTGGCCTAGAGGGGCTCATGTGTCAGTCAAGGATTCGACATCCTGAGTCATTTATTTTGGATAACATTTTTCTTTCCCCTTTTGAGGATGTGAAGAGTCTCCTATAACATCCTGGTTTCCTAAATGCTGATGAGTTTCGGAGGGTGCCTGTTTGTTCTCCCTCTGTTTCCCCTTCCTCTGCCCGGTGGTTTTTTTTTGTTTGTTTTCTTTTATTTGCTCGGTGGGATTTTTCCCAGTGTGGAAGTGCAAAACCAAAGCAGCTCTGATCTGCTTTCCCCCTCTACCAGCAGCCGGGTTGGCAAGGTCACCGACTTTCCCACCAGGACCATAAATTCTTGAGCTGTCCCTCTTTTTCTCTCCCTCTTGCACTTTCTGCTAACCAGCAAACCTCACTCTAAACTGTCTGGTATATTTTCTGACCTTCAGTAAACTTATTTTCTAGAAGTAGGGACTATATTCTGTGCTTTAAAGGCCCATGCACTGCAAGGCACGGGTATCTTTTTTAAAATTGTTCCCCCCTTCCTTTACATGTGGGAGAACTGGAAGAGGTGCACATGCTTTGGCCTCACTGGTGCGACTGATGAGCTATCTGATTAAATACGGCTGATGAGCTATCTGATTAAATAATGCCTTAAGATTAAGGGGCTGACACATACTGTGCATTTCAAGTGGTTGAAACAAACCATGCTCCAGGGTTCCTGCTGAGTATCAGCCTGACCCAGAGCCCTTCTGGTTTGTGCTTGGGCCTGGCTTGTGTAGTAGAGGTTGATGTAAACGGCTCCGTTGCTCATGCTGAGCATGATGGATCACGTGTCGTGCGCTCACTGTCCACTCTGCGAAGCCTGAGCGTGATGTGTCGTGCACAGGCCTGTTTGACATATTTCTTTATTCAATTCTCTAGATCCGAATCCGGGATCCCAACCAGGGGGGCAAAGATATAACGGAAGAAATTATGTCCGGAGGGGGCAGCAGGAACCCAACGCCTCCCATTGTGAGACCCACTTCCACACCGACTCCACCTCAGGTAATAACGTGGCAGTAAAACCATCCGTTGGCACCATCCGCTTTCCTTGGTGGCTCGTTACAACCAACTCCTGTCGGTGCTCAGGTCTTCCTGCTTTAGTAGTGGTGTTTTAGAATAACTAGGGTAACCATGGCTCAGGAATCTTATCTCACGAATTTCCAGACCTGGTATGTGCGTTCAGCCTTCAAAGTGCATTTTTCTAGTGCAGGAAAAAAGCGTAAATATCCCCCACTGACATTCTCTGTAGCTTGTGAACCTCTGGAAGAGGCCTGCCGTGCACCTAGAGTTTCTGCCCTCTTCCGAGCCTCTGTATTTTGCTTCATTTGAGAAGTCCACAAGTAAGGTCTGAAAATTAACCCCATTGAATATCCAAGCCTGGTCTAGTCTTTTTTGACTTGGAGCCACAAGAGCACTCTCAAACTAACAGACAAGAGCAGTCCAGACACGAACGTGAGTCTGCCTTGACTTGAAGTATTTGTCTTAGCTAATTAGAAAAAGATTTCTCGTCTGTGACCCCATCTCTTCCACACTCATGTCTTCCTCCTTGGAAGAGGAGCAGCTGCCACAGGCTTCTCCTCAGGTCTTCGGCTGGGCAAGCAGGGACAGCGCACTGGGCTCCAGCAAGTCCTGCCAGCTGGGTTTTGCAGCGCCTGATGCCAAGGCTGCAATGCTCAGGAAACCCTTTTTCCACCAGTCAGTTGTCTGATGATTCCCTACTGCAGCCCTGAGAGAGAGAGCCAAGTGCTGCTCATGTATAAAATGGATAGAGCTCCCTCCCAAGCGCTTTCCATGAGAGAAGGTAGCAGTGCTCTAAAACGTTTGCGTGCCAGCAAGACCTTGCAAGTTACTTTGTGTTAAATTATTTACTGCATCAGAAGTGTAGACGAGTTGAAGCCAGGCCGAGCTTCAGATTGTATTTATGGATGCTACAGCAAATGCAAGCACGCACTAGACCAGTTTTGCATTGAGGCCTGTTTTAAGACTTTACACTTAAGTCAAGCAAAATATTTTTTTTCAAGAGGAGGTTAGCAAGCCTGAGTTATCAGCTGTATTTTTTATATGACACACACCAGCGATATCAAATCACCTACTCTAAGCAAGGTGTGCAAACACTTCATCGTTTCATATCCAGGCTTCCTTTTGATTAGATAAGTTGGAGCCGCTTTTGTTTATCACCAAAGAGCTCTGAAGTCAAGCTCACCAGAAGAGGTGCATTAGTGCCACATTAATGAAAACACAGACCTGGTTAAGCCTGGAAATGCAAGTTATTGTCCCAGCAGCAACTGTTACTTCCTTTTTTTAAGCAAATGTAGTATCTGGATGGAGGTTGATGGTGCTCTGCTTATGCCTTAATACATCTGCTCGGTGGCTGCGTTGCAGGAGCTGTGACTATGTTGAAAAGTGCTCAGTCGAGGGCATCTCCAGAAGAGCTACAGGAAGAGCAGCTCGTTCCAGCGCTACGTCCAGCCAAACGTGGACGCTGAGGGGTTTGGTCCCAGCTCAGCTCCGTTCTCCCAAAGGGAACAGTCTCCAGGCTTGGCGGAAACGTCGCCTCATCGCTGCCCATGGCTGCTCCACAGTCTCAGCGGTTGGAGGGAATGAATAGCCTGGAAATCTCGGGCTGTGACTCGGCAGCGAGGTCAGGGCAAGGTGGCAAAGGGCAGGCAGGACCTGCGCTGACGGCCTCTAAAGGTTCTGAGGTCTTTAAAGCACCTGCATAAGAGAAGCTGGCAGTAAGTGGAGATGTTACTACAGTTCCGTTCCCGCAGTGTGCTATTTTCCTAGTAATTTGTTTGGAAGAAGCAGGAAAATAGAAACCAAGACTGCTGCTAGAAGCTGGCTGCAGTGTTTGGTCAGTGCTGACACACATAAAAGACCATATTTTAAAGAGCAGAACATGCTTCTTACTTACCTGGCAACCCTTTTCCACATTTGGAAAAGTGTGGAAAATTTCCACAATTTTTCACATTTTTTTGCTCTGTCTGTAGGCCATGGAAGAAGCCTAGAGAGAGGCTCATTTAGCATCATAAATCATGAAAGTAATTGGAGCATGTTTTTTCTTTTTTCCTAGAAAGTCTCTAAATGCTCCATTTCAAATATGAGCCTTGTCAGAGGCACTGCTTAAGTCCCATTTATATTGCTTTGCAGCGTGTTTCCCACAAAACGAATGGGTGTTTCCGAAACTCTTAGGAAAATAAATGTACCGACCCAAAGTTTTTAGGATTGCAGGTGTCTTGCCCACTAGTCTCATTTGGTTCCTGTGATTCTTATCTTCTCCTTTTTCCCATTGCTTTTATCCCTAAGTTTTTGGAAAATGGAACTAATGATCCGCGGTGGCCGTTCTTGAAGTGTGCTCATTTGTAAAATTGTGTTTTCTTTGGCTTCCTTTGGATTTGGCTGAAGGTACAAGTGCAATTCCTCCTCCGTAGTCCAGCCAACCTCATCAAAGTCATTCCTGGAAGAAGAGCAATCCCATATTAAATTTCAAGCCTTCACCCGGTTGATTTAGATTTATTTTTTTCTTTTCAGCTGTGGTTTTTACAATCTCTCTTCACTCTTCTGTTGCCTCAAAAGGGTGAAAATAATATGGAATGAAGATGACTTGCTCTTTATTCTGCACTGATCAGATGTAATAGCTGAAAAATTAGAGAATAGAAATGTGTCCTAGGAAAATGAATAGTTTGCCAGAGGATTTCTTTCTTGGAAGAAGTTAGGGGAAATAATTTTTGCTTGAATTTCTGACAGTCAAGCTTTGAGGGTCTTCTTTTCTGAGGTCTTCAGTCAGTGCAGGTAGGTTGCCAGCTAGACCATCCACGTGCAAAAAGCTGGGTCATTTGCAGGCTTAGGAATTCAATCTAACCAGATCTTCTTCTTCTTGTGATTCCGGGTTTGTATTTCAAGGTATTTCCCAAATGGAAATGTTTCCCTTCAGATCTTCCCCCCGAGTCGATGTTTGCTACCCTGCGCAGAAGTGCTTTGCCTGGAAGCATGAGCGAGTTCGGTGGAGTTATTTGTAGCTCTACGAATACAGAGTATTTAATAACAACGAAGCTGTTGGAAATTCCTCATAAGCTGAGAACGGAGCCCAAAAAAAGACACTGAAATCATGGAGAGGCTGAGTAGGTTGTGGGTTGTACCTGACTTTTGAACCACTCTGAAGAGCATTTCACCAGCTCTTGGAAGAAGCATTCGGAATCCGAAGTGTGTTAATAACTGTGCAGCACTGCCTGTTTCTTGCTGTCGCTAACAGTAGTTGTCTCTTTTCCCCCCTTTCCTGCTACCTTTTTCCTTCTTCCCTGTCCCGTGCATTTATTCAGTTTATTCAGACAGTTTGGATATCTTCTTTTCTTTACCCCTCTCAGCTTTTTGCTTTTCTTTTCTCTCTTGCCCTCGCCTGCTTTCACTCCCCGTTGCTGGTTTTTGTGCTCATTATCACCCTTTTTCATACTTCATATCCCAGCAGGTGCCCAGCCAGGTCCCGGAGCCCAGCCCTGTGGCATGTGGGACTGTGGAGAGCCCCCATCTCGGTGCTGGTGCCCCCACCACTGCAACGAGCAGCCCGAAGCAAGGTTTGTGGCTGGATATTTCCTCCCTGGTATTTTTAGTCTTTTTTAATTTCCTTTTTATTCCTCTTTTCTAGTTGGGATTGGTTCTGGTGTGGAGACAAGCAGCAATAGGAGGGGAGGGAGCCCTCTTTCTCCACTGGAACATTTAACAACGCGTTGCTAAGGGAATTAATTGAAATTTGCCGACGTGAAGCTGGTTAAAAATAATTTTATTAAAGCTTTCTCTTCCTAAATGCTGTTTTGGAGCCCCTAGAAACATGAAGCTCCTCTCACCCACGTTCTAGCTTTCAAGAATGGATGCACTGAGGATAAAACACTCTTAACCCAAGAAGCTTTATGCCATTTTTAATAAACTCTGAGTGATTTGAATTCAGGTCCCTCTCTTATGCCTTTCTGCAAAGGGCCATTTTGCCCTGTCGCAGTTTTGCCACTGCAGTATTGCAAGTGTGAGAGATTCTGCTTTCCTAGACGAGGGAGTTTTCCCTCTCTGCTCCCTCCACGTGCCACGATTTAACTTAATCCCTTTATACGCACATGTAAGTAAACGGGGGAAGTAAGTGATCTCCGCTTAAAAATAAACCAGGATTTTAACCTGGATTTATGGCTGGTGCGTTTATCTCATTTACATCCCAGATAGTCCAGTGTTTGGTCCAGCCCCGAACCTGCACCTTTACATAGGAGGAGAGACCTTTACTTCCATCAGAGAGCAAGAAGTAGGTGAAAAAGAACATGACCGTGCCCTGGGCACGGGGACAGAACAAGTTAATGATGAGGGCAGTTTGGCTAGCGTTAAAATTACTTACACTTATCTGGAGCCTTTGGCTTAAGGGCATGTCTACAAACGCATATAGCAGAACTGCTTCTCATTCATTCCTTTTGTGCCTTGGGGATGCTTCTTTTTTATAACCCCCCAATAAAAATAGGCACCGATAGAGCTGCATTGCCAAGACAGCAGGTGAATGTTGACACCAGGGCTGCTGCCTCCCCCAAGTCCCCGTCGCCGGCTCGTTGTGGGGCTCGAGCCTCCCCGTGCCCTTCAGCCTGGGTGTTCGTTCGCAGCCGCCGCCACCCGGCACGCAGCCACCGTTCTAATTTTGCTCGTTTTGCAGTTATAAATAACCACGGGCAGCGCTCGCCCTATTCATTCGCCTCGGGCCCGTGTTTCCTGCTGATCATCATCCGCCCCGGTTATTTCTGTGCTTTAAGACACAGCGAGGCCGTGGCATCGGGCATTGGGTTTGCATTTAACCTGCCCGCTTTTCCTGCAAGACGAGCAGCGGCCGTCGGCCCTCGCTGCTTTGGAAGCAGCTGCTGCCAGGCTGCAAAGTTCACCTGGGGCGTGGGGGGGCACAGACCCCCTCCTGCCAGAATAGCTCCAAAAGTGGCTTATTTGGGCACGGTCAGCACCATAGGGTCCCACCAGTGCATATATACATGGCCGGTCCTCAAGGGCTGCAATGCAGGGATATTGCTGATGAATGTAGGTCAGGCTGATCCCAGCACATACTTTGGGTCTGGTCTTTTGTGGCCTTTGGAATATGGGATAATTGTGCACGAAAACAGCACTGTCAACTTCTGCTTGGTGTGGGAGATTGTGCAGGCTCCGTGGGATGTTTGCAGTAGTAGCTTTGGGTTTTTTTTCTCCTTTTTTTTTTTTTTTTCAAGCCTCTTTCCAAGAGCTGAGATATATCAGCCGTGGAGAACACACACTGCAGTTTGGGGGAAAACAAATGAACGTGAAAACCCGAAGCGCTGCCAGCCTTTGGGGCCCCGCTTGCCCAGCGGTTTAGCGCCGCGTGCTGCAAAGCTCGGGACAAAGGATGGCAAAATGGCCGTGAGCCCGGGGCGATTATTTTTGGGCAAACACCACCCGGCCAGGCGAATTCCTGCGCTCGGGCCCATCTTCCCAGCCACTGTGACCACCCAGCCCCGTCCCGCTGCTCCGATGCCTTTGCATGGAGGGGCTGGCAGGCGTCTGCCCTGCTGAGACTCATCCAGATTTTCTAATGTCTTTACTTCTCAACCGCTGCCTGAATTTTCAGATTACCTGTAATTTCTCTGCAATCCTCTCCTGATCCACTTTTCTGTAGAAATTTTGCTCATGTTGCCTCTATCCAGTAGCTAAAGCATCGTTCAAATAAGGGATATTTTGAGGAAAGCATCTAAAATGCCTTTTTAAGATGCAATTGTGTGTTTTTGATGTGTGTTTTATTTTTTTTTGTCTCAATGTTTTTTCTAAGCATTTCAACTAATTTTTGAGTAATCCCACTTGACTCAAGGAGGGGAGATACCCAGGAGGTAGCTCAGCAAGATTTTAATCTTGAGGACTCTCCGTGCGCTGGCTACAGGAAGCGGTCCATGATTAGAGGACCTGTAGAGCTGACCTCGTGCTTCCAGTCTAGCCTGGATCGCAAAGAGGCAATACCCAAAATACCCCCAAAATACTTTGCCAGAGGCAAACATGAACTTCAGAAGCTGCTGCTTTCTTCCTGTGAGCGTCCTGAGTAGCTTGCAGTGCGCAGGGCGGGTGGCCGTGGAGATGGCCCGGGCGGGGGGAATGACGGCTCTTCTACCATTGACCTTCTTTCTGCTTTCCCAGAAGAGAAGCCAAAACCAGACCCAGTATTAAAGCCGCCTTCTCCAGTGCTCAGACCAGAAGCTGCTGTGGAAAGGAAGGATCTCGGCGGCCCGGCGAGCGAGGCCGCCGCCGCGGAGGCCCCGCCGGAGCTTCCCGCTGCCGCCTCGCCGAGCCCGGCGCCTCCGGTGGCGCCTGCCGCTCCTCCCGCCATCGCCGTCGCGGCTGTTCCCAGTAAACCCCCGTTTACAGCTGATCCGGAGGAGAGCCGGGAGCCTCCTCCCAAAGAGGAGGCCGCTCCTGTAGCCACGGGCGCCCCTTGCGCGGACGCGGACGCAGCGGCCCCTTCGCCGGCGGAAGAGGCCGAGGCCGAGCCCTGCGAGGAGCCCGCTCCTGTAGCATCTAGTGATATCCCCGTGACTGCTAGTACTAACCTAATTAGCGAAACGAACGGAGTTAGCGAAAGCGTGGCGGCTCCCGAGAGCGTGGCGGATGTAGCCCCCGAGGAAGCGGCGCCCTTGACTGTGGAAGCGGAGAGCCCCGAAGCGCCTCCCGCGGACGCGGAGCCGGCGCCGGCTCCGGTGGCGCTTCCCGCCACTCCCTCGCCCCCGCCGACACCCCCGCCGACCCCTCCTCCTCCTCCTTCTCCTTCTCCTCCTCTTTCTGTTGCTGCTGCTGTGACCACTACAACTCCTTCTCCACCTCCTCCTCCGTCTCCGAGTGCCCTCCCTGCTCTTCAGGGGGATTCGGAAGGAGAGGAGAGCACAAGAACTGCTCTTAGCGAAGAGGAGAAAGATGCCGAAAAGAAGGAAGAGACTGAAGCAGATGGGCAAGTGGAGGAGAGTGCGGAGTCTCCGAGTTTGAACTCAAGGAAGAGCCCTGTCCCAGGTAAGCCTTCGGCCTCGTGGTTGGGTGTGCTGCACTTGAGGATGAAGAAGGGGGCTCCTTTTCCTATATCAGAAAAGCTAACGGTGCTATGAGGTTATTTTAATTGTCATGCATCCTTTAAATACCTTTTCTCCCTTAACAAAACACGTAAAATATTTCCATAGTTTAGCTGTCCTGAGCATTTCCAGCTTGAATAAGAGGTTCGTGTTCATTGCAATCTCCTTGCAGCGTTACCACCTGCTTTATAATGTCCTGGAGTTTAAATTATTGTTACTTTTCTTCTTTGCACACAGCATTTGGGGGTTTTAATTAAGCAGCAGATTAATTGTAATGCTTGGTTTCATTAGACTGGGCAGCACACGTTAGCCAGTATATTGGTTTTAGCTACCAAGAAACAACTATTTCTCAAGTTGCCTAAAACCACTTGGAACCGTGACCGCAGGATACCCAAGGAAGGCGAAATGCTCCGAGTTGGATTTCTGTGCTTTCCGCCACCTATAACGAGGAGGAGCCGTGTTGCATTTCCCTGCTAACCGTTTGCAGTGATGATTTTCCAGCTCTTCCTTGGAGAGAGGAAGAGAGATTGAACTACCACAACCCAACGGCGAGTGTCGGCGCCGGCGTCCTTCCCAGCACCGCGAGGAATTGCCCGTCTCCTGGCCGCACGCTGGAGAAGGCGGATGCTGAATGTCAGAGCCAAGGAGAAGGCGCCGTGTTGCTGTTTTTTTTTCCTCTAGATCTAAAGGCTAAGAGGCTTTTTTACGCTCTCTGGAAATAGGATAGAAAGTGGAATTCTTCTTGAGCGTGTGCTGCGCAGCAGGAGCTCTGCCCTTTTTTCACAATGCTCCTTTGGGGTTTCCAGCACCGTGCAGGTTGTTGGCCGAGGCGCACACTGATTACGGAGCAGTTTAGCTCGCTGCCCGTGCTGGCGTTAATCCGCTCGGTTTTTATCAACGGGACTTGGCGAATTCAGAGCAGAGACCTCCACGAATGGCCTGATCGCTGCGGGAAGCAAAGGAGGAAGCGCCAAAGCTGTCAACAAGTGGCAGCCTTGTCGGATTAATGTTTTAATCTCTTCCTAATATGTTGTGTGATATCTTTGACCCTTCAGAGAGGGGAGAACGGTGATCTGAGTAAACCAGTGCTAACCTTAGAAATATTTTATGGTGTTTTCCTTGCCTCAGTGGGCTACTGAGAGCAAACTGTGGTGCAGTTAACCTGCTTGGAAACTGTACTGCAGGAGAGCCCGGTTGCCAACACGGTGCCACACGTTGCTGTAACCATGGGGCTCTTTCCACATTTAAGCAGAAAGCGGCCGTGTCCGTCCGCGTCCTCAGCGAGAGGGACCCCAGGGTAACGCCTGTCCGCTTGCATTGCAGCCCCAACAGCTCTCACTGCACCAAAGACGTGGAAGAAACCAAAAGATGGGACTGAGGGCACGGAGGAGGCTGAGGAGGTGGAGGTGGAGGTAAGGGGTGACACAGTCCTCTGGCTTTTCCTAAAACTGTGCAGAATTCCCGGCTGGCTCCGGCACTGCTTGGATAGGACCTTTTTTCGTTCAGTTGTTCCCATATCCCACCGTGATGGCTGGACTGTGTTCAACAGGAAAGCTGACAGTTGGGTAATATAAGAAAATTATAATCATCATCCCTCTGTGCTTGTTTGCAAGCCAGTGTGCAGGTTGTTGAGCTGCGCCAGTGAGTTTGTGCGTTCTCTGCACTCCCTTGCTCATTTACGGGGGCAGCCCGGTCCCCTGGACCGTTTCCACCGAGACTGAATGCCCTCAAAGAACGCAGCGGTTTCACAGGGCGTTCCCTTGACACCAGGCAAAAAGAGTTTGTGGATGCAGTGCTCTTAGGTAGGCAGGCAAGCGGATCTAGGAGCTCGTTGGAGCATTCCCTGCTGGGAATGGGTGATTCCCAGGTTGCTGCTGATCTCCAGGAGAGGGGAAGAGCCAGGTTATCCTTGCAGGCTCCATTGCTCGCTCCTGCTCTGCACTGCTGTGCTTTAGGGCTTACTGGTTGTTTTCCCCCCTTGCTCTCGCTGACTCGTGCGGGTGATGCTGCTCAGTCCCCGTTAATTAGTGGCGGTTGTTATCTCCGAGAATGAGGCACAGGGCTTTCAATAAACCATCCTGTTACCCAGGGCTTTATTGCAGACCTATATGTCACTGTTGAAGATGCATATCTGTTCTCATTATGAGCAAGATGCACTGAATGTCCCTGAAGAGCAGCTTCGTGGGCTTGGAATTCTGGCGGGTGTTTGTTTAAATGTAGCAAACGTTACGTTAACGCTGTGTTTCCACCTGTGCTTCAGCCTCAAGTGGAAGAGGAGCTTTCAGGTGACAAAGTACTTGAATCTGAACCAGATAAAACAAACCATGGCTTCCCACTGGAGAAGGACGCCCCCGAAGTTAAGAAGGTGAAAGCTGTGGAGGAGAATGGAGAGCAGGACGCGGAACCGGTCCGTAACGGCGCCGAGAGCGTCTCCGAGGGCGAGGGCACCGAGGCCAACTCGGGCTTCACCGAGACTTCCAGTGAAGGGCCAGTGTACCAGTATAAACCAGGTAAGGCCCTGGGGGGCTCTTGCACATCCTCGCTTGTTTTTGTGCTTTCCTCCTCCGCAAAGACCCACCAATCCGTTCACGTTCTGCCGGAGGAGAAAAGGATGTTTGCAGCGGTGCCGTGAGGGTTGGGAAAGGTTTCCCCCACACTCTGGTGGCCACCAGGCCTGGTGGGACCTTCTAAGGGCAGCACGGGAGGAAAATTGCTTTGCTCCTGCTGCTAGCAACAAGGAGAGGAGCCTGGAGAGCCCGAGTGTGCTGAGGAAAGCAGCCCCTCTGCTGCTCACATTGCCCCTGGGAATGGGGAGGAATCAGGTGCCCTCTGATCACCAGGTGAAAATGATCCAGGAAACTTAACTGCTTCCGTGTAAGCAGGCGTACTTGTTAAATAAGAGATATGACAGTTTTAATTGGGTACTAAGTAACCAGCGCTATGTGCTTATGTATATTTAATTATCTGGCTAAGCAATTCTATAGATCTTCAAATTTCCAGGAGAATAAGGAAAATAGAAGTCATGCATATTATTTGCAATCCAGACTCTGCTGTTAAGCTGCGGATATATCTGGTTCCTGTGGTAAAAGAATTAAGTGCAGGCTCAGAGGATGCGACACTTTTGGTGCTAGTTAACATTATATATGGTCTACCTAAGGGGTTTTCTTGTTGTTATTCATTAAGATACTTAATTTATTGTCCTGACCCTCTATAAATTCACTTCATTAAGAGAGACCTTGAGACTGTCTTACCTTTGAGTCGCTACCAATTTTGAAACCCTTTATTATTCAAGTGGTGCTTCTTCCAAATAAATTGTTTTCTTTGGAGGTTAGAAATTAAGAGCATAAAACAAAATCAGGAAAGACCTTGAGAGCCTGGCAGAGATGATAGGGGGAGGAAACACCCCCATTAGGTGATTATGGTGTTGCTGCTACTTCTCTGCAGCTTTGCTCTTACCTGAATCGCTTTTCTCTTATTCATTTGGCCAAATTGTATCTGTAGGAGGAAGCCTGGAGGCCTCTTGATGGTTGACACTGCACTTAACCTTGCCTACCTGCTTATTAGTTAAGCACATCTGGAAATTATTCCATAATTCATCACATGTCTTTCTAAAACCGTGGACACAGTGGGAATGATTTTGGACTGCTCCGCGAGTCCCTTAACAAGGCTCAAGGTCTTCAGCTGATCCTCTTGAATGTGCAGAGTGGACCAGAGCTCTTGCTGTAGCAATCCTCTGTTTTGGGTCTTCTCTTTCCAAGCTATGAGGTTTTCTCATTAGTGGAAGACTTGGATGCCCATCTCTTCCATCCTTGACTCGGTTGCAGGCTGCCAGCGACATTTTCCCCCTGCTTTGCACATTGTAACTGCATGTAAAGAGCTTTGCAGGAGAAGGAAACTCCATGGAAACTATTCCCGGTTGGGCTTTTTGCATGCTGGCCTGGGATTTTTGCTGGCCTAGGATCTGGCTAGCCAGCTAAATCCACCCCTCTTTTTTCCTGAAGCCTCAGAGAGGAAAGCTTTGGCTCGTGCCGCTTTTGCAGGTTTGTGCTCACTGTCACTAAAGCTCTTTCTTCACTTGGAAGAAGTTGCCGGTTGCAGCCTCTGCTGGGACGAGGATGCTCAGTACCCCGAGACCTAAACCGAGCGATTAGGGGCTAAAATAAGGAAACAGGAGAGCGTCTTAGCAGAGGAGCCCTGTTATTTGGCATCAGTAAGATCCAAAGGAGATGTCTCCTGCAGATGTTCTCCTTCAGATAAAAACGTGCTTAGGGGCTGGATGAGCCAAGCTGGCTGATGCACAAGGGGAAGTTTCTTTTCCAACTCCCAACCTGCAGCCAGCAAAGAAAATCTCCTAGGCTACAAGCTGGGAATTTTCCTTGCACTAACGTGGCTGTGGGTTTGTGTCGGGCAAAGTCTTCCCGTCCCCATGCCTGGTGAGCACTCAAGATCAATAGGCAAAAAGCTGCCAGCTTCGCAGCTCGCCTGCACTTTTTCCTTATGGAAGCACGAGCGGAGCTGCTTTTGTTCTCTGTGGATCTCAGTCAACTCCTGTCATTATAGAGCAGTGGAAGCCCCTGGATCCCGAAGGCAAGAAGCAGTACGACCGGGAGTTCTTGCTGGATTTCCAGTTCATGCCCGCCTGCATCCAGAAGCCAGAAGGGCTGCCGCCCATAAGCGATGTGGTTCTCGACAAGGTGAGAGGAGAGCCCATCAAACAGGTGCGTGCAAATCATTTACTGACTACACATCTCCATCTAGACTGCTTTTAATCAAAGGATGGTTTTTACTTTCCCGGTGCCACGTGATTTTGCTCATGCTGTGAGGAATAACTCTGTGTGGGCATCAGTCAATGCGTGCTTCGTTCCTTGACCGTCTTTATGACCACAGTCTTTGTCCAGCACGGGCAGTCCTTGGCTCTCACATGAGACTGCTCAAGTAAAGACATCATAGGTTAATGACTACTCACAGGCTGTTTAAAAAGCAAAGCACTTTGAATGGCTTTTGTCCAAATTAAGTTATGCCAAGTTGTTAATCACGCTTAAGATAATGTCTCCAAACCTTGGAGACTTAAGCAAAGCCACAGTGATGTACTCTATGACTTTGGATGTAACCCTTAAGATTTGAGGAAGAACTGGAGAAATGGGCGTTTCTTAATGTGCAGAAACGTTTCTACTCTGAATTTCATGCACAGACAAACTGGAGTACACAGCGATGTTCCCAAAATGTTTTCATCCACCTACTAGTTTTCTGTGATAGCTTCTCGCTGTACTGAGCTTCCTGCACTCGGTCAGCCATCTGTCCTGTTAGCACAAAAGACATTTGTTTGAGGGAAGGCGACAGTTTTGTGATCCTGAACGAAGCCTGTCACATTCCTTTTGCAGGAGACAGGCACACGTCACTGTTGCTTTAGCCTCTATAAGTTACATTCAGCCTCGAAACGTTTCTGAGCCCTGCGTAGCCCTGCTGTGGATTTTCACAATAGCACCTGCGTAAAGCATGGTTTAGATTAAATGCAGATTTTCAGTATGAGTGTGGCTACATATAGCACAGTCAAGTCATTAAAAGCGTTAATTTGGATATTAAAACTATTCGTTATGGGCGATGCTTCAGCACGGGCAGGGGCTGCGGTCGCGGGTGAATTTGCGCCAGCTGCAGCGGGCGCTGACCGGCTTTTGTTGCTGCTTCTGTCCCTAGGTCAATCAGCCCAAATTGCCCCTGAGAACCCTGGACCCTCGGATACTGCCTCGGGGCCCCGACTTCACGCCAGCCTTCGCTGATTTTGGGAGGCAGACCTCCGGGGGAAGAAGCGTGTCTGGAAGTGTGAGTTTTCCCCACCTTGCTAATTCCAAACCTGGCCTTAATACTGGTGAAGTCCGTCCTCGTGTTTTGGGACATCCTCAGATGCTTCCTATGATTCTGGTTTTGTCAGCCTCAGCACAAGGTTAATGTTTGCTCGGCGGTCAAAATGTAGGCAAGTTAAAAGGCAGTGTGTATGTTTTTAATGGTACGTATTGGTCTCAGATGGATTTAACGTCCTCCTTTCCCTTCTCTTGCACAAGAAATATGTGGAAACGCATTTCCACGTGAGATCCAGGTAGTGGCTCGTGTGTGAGCACATGTTTTTCATACGGTACGGGCTGTGTGTTAGCCTGCATCCTCATAGGAACTTGTCTTATAGCCTATGCCAGCAGAGCAAATACACTTTACTAACCAAAGCTGCTTGCCTGTTTTCCTGCTTTCCCTATCGTTCCACTGGCCGCTTTGCTTCGTTCGCGTCGTCCCTCCTTGTCCTTCCTTATCTTCTGCTTTTCTTGCACCTTTCCTTCTTTTCCCTGAAGCTGCCTTTGTCTGGCCCCCCAAATCCAGTCCCTCAGTCTGTCCTTGCCTTTCTGTAGCTCCTTCCCGGGGCACGGGTGTCTCGAAGCGAGGTGCTTCCCAAGGGGACGAGTGGTCCGAGCAACGGAAGCTTCCCAATAAATCTCAGCTCCAATTTCTCTCTCAAAACAACCGGTTTTGACTCGAGCTCACAAAATAACCTTCACTTCCAAGTACGCAGATTTGCAGGAGGCTCGGAGCGAAAGCCGGCGGTTTGGCTGCAGCCTTGGCCTGGCCGCAACGTTTCCGTGCCGAGAGCGGGCTCGCGGCCGGCGCCTCGGTTCTGGGGCGCGCGTCCTTGCCGTCGAGTGGCTTCGGTGTCGCAGTCTGGGCCAGAGCACCACCCGGGCCCGCCACCTTGGCGCTTGGACATCGCTTCCAATATTTAGCGACTCCGCAGTGGGCTGCAGGTTGTACCCCGGCCCCGGCCGGCCTTTCGTGCGCTCAGTGTCCCCGGCCTCGCGCCACTTTGGTAACGTCCCTGTCGCTCTTTCTCTTTCCGCAGGCCTGCAAAGTGCAGAGCAACCCTGGATTGCCTTCCCTGGCTCGGTGCGGTTCCCCAGCATGCCCTCTCTTGGTCTCGCCTCACCCACCATTGAGGAACCTGCCAATAGGGGTAAGCCAAATCCCCCTTCTTCTCCCCAAACTTTGCACCTTTTTGTAGAGTTATCTTTTTTTTTCCCCCCTGTAACGCCTGTTATTGATTTAAAAAAAACAATGCTAATGGACAACTTTACAAAAAGGTGCAACAATGTTTTGTTTTGTTTTTTTTTTAAATTAAAAAAAAAAAAAAAAAAAAAAAAAAAAACGAAACAAGACTTGCATTGTACCCCTCTAGGCAGTCTTCAGTGGTGGGTGGGACAGCACCAGCTGAGGGCATGCTGGGACGTTGGCCTGAGCGGCATCCGCGAGGGTCTGCACTTTGCAGACCTGTGGAAAGGGGGAGAAAAGGTAAGTGCCGCTTACCTCGTTCATTTGGAGCACTCGGCACATAACACACATCTCACGTGAGCGCCTCGCAGGAGCGGAGCCTTTCTTGGCGTGTTCTTGGAGGAGGGTTTTGCTTGAACCCGCCGGCCAGCGAGCTCGGCGGGCGCAGGACGAGCCTGCGGCCCGGCCCGGCGTCAGACCCTGTCACCCGCTCGCAGAGCGTGGCCAGAGCTGCTCCCCGTCTGCTCCGTCATCCCACCGCTGCGCAGGCCATGCCCATAAACCATTAAAACCCACTGCCTATTCCTTGTCCGTGAAATAACGGCGAGCAGCTCAGCGCTAACCAGCTTCCAGCACATGAGTCTCGTGTTTTGCTGCTTTGGCTTTGTCTTTAGTCTTTATTTCCTTTTTCTTTTTTTTTTTAATCTCTTTTCTTAAATAAAGATGTTGTATGACTGTTTTTAGAAATAACAAATGTCCAATCAAACAAGCCAAGGAGTGTGTTTAGACGGGAACAAAACGCAATGGAGAAGAATTCTTTTGATACAGACAAAAACTTAAAGATCAGTGCAACCTGTTTGTTAACAAGATGTAAAAAAATACAGAAATAGACCAGTCCCCAGGCAGGATACGTCTGCACGTGTTGTTCCCATGTGTGTCTGGGAAAAGTGTCAGGGTCTTTTTGTAAATGGCACCTTATTTTGTGTTCCTGGGAGGATTCGGCAGCTCTCTGCTTGCCTTTTCCCCCTGTTCACCCACAAGATGGGTACTTTGGGTGAATGTGGTAGCATCTGGTAAGCATTTGGTGGTGCTTTTGGTGGAGAACATTATTTCAGTGCAAGGCGGAGCGCTCTAATTGCAGGTGCTGCTGCATTATTATCTATAGGGACGGGGTTGCAAAGAAGGAGGCTGGATGTGAACTCAGGCGCCTACTTCTCTTGCTGCTTTGTAAATTCAGAACAACAACGAAAGAGTTTTCTGTTAAAAGATTATGATGTTTGTATTATTGAGTGTTCAAGAGACTGCATCGATTCACTGATTTTTGAAAGGAATCGAACATTCAGCCAGCCTGGACTAAGTTTTTTCAGAGGTGTTAAGTCGTGCAGTCGTGAGGGAAGCCTGCAAATATTCATGGCGTTTAAAGGTCTGGGCTCCAAGACGGTCGCATTTGAGGAAGCCAGTGCACGCCCAGCCCGCATCTCCCTCTGTCCCATGCGGATATCCAGGAGATGCTCCAAGGGGTCTCGACATCCGTCCTTTTGCCTAAGCGACCACCTCCAGAGTGGGGCTCCTCGCCCCACGGGCAGACGCTGAGCCTGGCTGTGGGCCCGTGTGCGAGGAAGCGGCGTCACGTCCCCTCCGTCCGCCTGCGCTCGCCGGGTCCTTGGGACCTGTCCCCGAGTGCCGGGCGAGATGAGCCCTCGGCCAGCCTGGCTGCGGCGCCGTGCGACCCTTCCCGTCTCGTGCTTTGGTTTCTGCCGCGTGTTTTCCGTGCGTCTCCCTGCCAGGGCTGCAAGGGGCTCTGCAGACAGCCGGCCCACAGGCGCCGCGGGGTTGTGTCGCGGATAAAACCTTCCTGTGCTTGAGGCTGGAGAGGCTGGGCCTTTCTAGTAAGCAAATTCAGAAATGGGAGCGTGTTGGGGGGGGAAATGAAGCTCGTGCCGCGTCGACTGTGTTTGGCGTTTGTTGGGGAGGACCCGAAGGATGAGCCTTGGGTGCGTGTTGCACCCTCTCGCTGGCACAACTGGTGCAAATCTCTCCTGTGCTCTCAGCTCCAGTAAAACCCTAGTAATAGATGAACAGCTTTATCAAAACATACTGCTTAATTGTGACAAGTGTTTGACAAGCGCAAAAGTGTTTGACACACACTTTTGAAGGGCCTGTTGGGTCTGTAAAGGTGTCTTCACCATGATGTCTCAGTTAAACAGTTCTGAGAGCTTAGCTGATAGGTTAGGGTTGAGTTGGGCCATGCTCAAGCAGTACCTGAAGCATCATGGATGCATGGAAGCAGCCTGGACCACTGTGTTACCTTGGAGGGAATCCTCAAACCCATAGGATGCATCGCTGATGGACGACCTTGCTATTCACAAGGGTTCTCTTGAGCCCCCAGGGCGTTTTCTTGAGATGCGTGGGTAAAAGGGGGTATAACAAGGAATGTTTTTATCCTAGTTGTTGAATGTTGGACCGAGGAGATCTCAGCCGGGCCAGAGGCGAGAGCCCAGGAAGATCATCACGGTGTGCGTGAAGGAGGACGTCCACCTCAAGAAGGCTGAGAACGCCTGGAAGCCCAGCCTGAAAAGAGAAAACCAAACTGAGGACCCAGAAAATGTCAAAACGCAGGTGAGGGTTTAGCAACCGCTTCTCTGAGCACAGCAGTTGGCCTTGCCAGGAGAAAGACTGTGATTTGCCTTTGCTGTTGTATAAGGCAGTAAAAAAGGGCACCTGAAACACAATTTGAATCCCAGCTTTGGCCTACTTTGATTTTTGTTGTTGTTTTTATTCTTGCTCTGGAGATTAATTTGCAAACATATAAATCAAGGGCATCTAAATAGACCAGACAACCTACTACCTCTCTTCTAGGATATGTTTTTAATATTGCTATTTTTACTGGAGTATTTCTGTCCTGATCCTAAAACAAACAACCTCAAACCAGTAGCACACAACTTGCTTTTCATCCTCGTCTAAATTATGCTTCTGTCCTGGAGCTCGGCATTGCTGAGGTTCCTCGGTGAGATTCCTTTGGTTGGTCCTGCCTGTCCCCAGAGCGCCGTGGCTCAAACGCTCTCTGTGCTTCTCCCCAGCCTCTTTCCGTGGGCAATATTTTGCCTGGTGGTGAAACTTGGACAATGGGGTGGGATATTGGTCAAGGCCACGGGAATGCTGTTCTCAGGAGTGGCAGCAGCCCTGTGACCTAATTATCCCTCTGGGCAGAAAAGGAAAAACAGTCTGTGTTGAAGTAAATGTAGGAAAGGTTGATCACTTCTTGTGAGCGAGATGTCCACCTCTTCTAGATAAATTAATATCAAATGAGCTTTTTTAGCTTTCAGTTCAAGTGTTTTCTGTGGTGGGATGAGTGTGTCCAAGCTGCGTCTGTCCTGCTTGCCTTCAAGAAGCAGCTGGCTCATTTCTGAAAGCTGCCACTCGCTTGGTTTGAGCTCTGCACTGACCTTTCCGTGCCATTTCAGGAGCTGTTCCGCAAGGTACGAAGCATCTTAAACAAGTTGACGCCCCAGATGTTCAATCAGCTAATGAAGCAAGTAACAGACCTGACCGTAGACACAGAAGAGAGGCTGAAAGGAGTCATTGACCTGGTCTTTGAGAAGGCCATTGATGAGCCGAGCTTCTCGGTGGCCTATGCAAACATGTGTAGATGTCTTGTAACGGTAAGAGGGGCAAGAGTCAACGGGAAGTTCTTTTGGGTGGATGCCCCCCTGGTTGCCCCTTATCCCCATAAACGGAATGATAGTTACAGAAATGTGGCCAGAGCAGAGTTAAATGTTAGCTTCTGAATTTAAACCCTGATTTACACCAGAGATTTGCTCTCGTACGCTCCTTGGCCATGCCTGCAGGCTTTACGAGTGACGTGTTGTTTGGAGTTAAGGACACCGAGCACTTAGCTCTGCCTGGTCACAAGATGCAGTGAGTCATCTTTGGAAAGTCCAATTTCTCTCTCTAGTTTGAAAGGGGAGCCCAAGGTGCTGAGCCAAGCCTTGGCCAGCCCGTCTTTGGAGGCTGAAGTTAGGACAAAACAACCACTTCTTCCCTCTGTGTGATTTGCCACGACACGGAGCGAAAGAGCGGTGACTCCAGAGTCTTCACTGCATAACAAGAATATTTTTTACTCTGTATGTCATTTTAAAGGACCCCGTGGCTGGAAATGCAATCTGCCTCCAGGCAGAAGTGGTGCCAGCCAAGTTTGGAGCACGGCTTTCCAACTGAAATGTAAAACTCCACTGGAAACTGTGACCTGGTGCTTCACTCTCGTAGCCTTGTAGCCTTGCAGAGCTCAACACGAAGCGCAAAATAAAACGTAATTGATGGGATATGGCCAATCTCACCAGTGCTCTCTCGTCCTGCAGCTGAAAGTACCCATGGCAGACAAGCCTGGGAGCACCGTAAACTTCCGCAAGCTGCTGTTGAATCGCTGCCAGAAGGAATTTGAAAAAGACAAAGCTGACGACGACGTCTTTGAAAAGAAGCAGAAAGAGCTTGAAGCTGCTACCACTGTGAGTGATGTTCCCCCCTCTAAATTCTCAGAGGTCCCTCTGAAAACGTTCTCTTTGAAGAATGCCATTGATTTGGGGGAGATTTTGGAGTTCTGCAGACTTTTCCCCTCTCACTGCAGCTGAGTATATTAAAAAATATTCTCCTTGATTGATGCTTTTGTAAGAGCTTCTCCTTGTTTTTTGGGAGAAAGCAGATAAACGGAGGCAAAAGCACCTATAATGCAGAACTGGATCTTTTCAAGCATGCTGTGCTCTGTGATTGTGCTTTCTAGAGTTCCCTTTCTGTTTTACAGCCGGAGGAGAAGACGCGGCTCCACGACGAGCTGGAGGAGGCCAAGGACAAAGCTCGACGGAGATCTATTGGGAATATTAAATTCATTGGTGAACTTTTCAAACTCAAAATGCTCACGGAGGCCATCATGCATGACTGCGTGGTAAAGCTGCTGAAAAACCACGATGAGGAGTCCCTTGAGTGCCTTTGCCGCCTCCTAACTACCATTGGCAAGGACCTGGACTTTGAGAAAGCAAAGGTAGGGCAGGACCTAGGATGAAAAACAAGCCTGGCTGGACAAGGCTGAAAAATTGAGCATGTGCTATTTTTGTTTATTTTTTTTATTCAGAATTTATTTTTTCATAGGGAGTTTTTGTACGGCATTGGGAAAGCATCTGCTCTCTCAGCCCCTTTGTCATAGATTCGGTATCGTTTTCAGTAATGTTTCCCAGTTGCTACATGTTTACAGATATTTCCACATATTTCATCCGAGTTCGTGGTCATGAGTGACTGACAAATGCCGTGAGTTATTCTCCAAACAACATTCACCTCTTGCCTGTAGGTTCCAATATCTTAAGGAGTTAAAGTGGCCTCTTTGCTTTTGAGGGATTTTACTGCCCAGGAAATGCAATACTGAAGGAGTGTTCGGGTTTGATGAAAATGTGCTTAGCAGCCTGAGCTCCCCGCTGAAACATCGTGCCCTCACCTCCAGCTCTGCTGCGAGGAAGCTGATGTTTTGCAGCTCCGCGTTCCTCCCGTTTCCTACCCTGTGTCCATGTAACACAGTGCCTCTGGTGCTAGATGAGCTTCAGCCTGCACAGCCCGTGTGCTCGGCCTTCCACAAAGCCATGCTCAGGATGCGAAAGCAGCCCGGTGTTTTGCCAGAGATTGGGGATTGGACTCGGCTCTGGAAGCTGAGTCCAGGCTTGGCCTCGGCTCTGGGAGCACATGGAGCTAATTGCTGTGAGCTGCACGGGAAGGGAGCTCCCTCCCCGGGGCGCACGGATCACAGCCGTTCAGTCCTGATTCCTGAGAGCAGGTTCCCAAATCATGCACTGAAACAGGGCAGTTTCCACCGATGCCCTGGGCTGAATCCCTTTCGCTGTTAAGTGCCCGTTATCGATGCAGCTGGGAAGGTGGCACCAGTGGGAATCAATTTCTCCATGTGCTTTGGGAAGAAACCAGGATTCGCCTTCTGAGCCATAGCTAAGGTCCCATTAGATGAGTCCTGGGTGCTGTGATTTGTTCTTTTTATCAAGATTGAATGTGAATCTTTTATTTATTTCCTATGAAAGGGGGAGACTTTTTTTTTTTTTTTACATGTTTTTACTGAAGCTGAAGTGTTGGTGATAGTTATAATTAAACTTTCTGGAAAAAATCCATTTAAAATATTTTTCTTGACACTCTTCCTTTGGAAACATTTACCGTCATAGCTGAAACTTTCCAGAGCAGGACTGTACTGATTTTTAATAGTATTTTTTTTTTGAAGTGCAAGGAAAAGGATTTAGCTAGTTTTTAATGAAGGGAGTGGGAAATACTTTATTTTTACAAAACTGCCCTGCCACTTTTTGTTGAAAACAGCTGGAGCCCCCATTTGGGGAAAAAGAAAAAAGACTGAAGTTTAAGAGTTTGGCAAGTAAAACCTGGACCTAATGAAGGCTTTTCTGAGTTACGGTGCCATTTCGTGTCTGTAGTGCAGCTTGATGTGAAACCCATCACACCATAACTTTTTTTAGAAGAAAAGGCATAACTTGTGTGTAATGCTGGTGTGATTTTGGGCTGTGCACGCCCAAATCTCACCTGTGAGGGAGTACAAAACCCAGCTCTTGCTTTGCTGGAGAGCACATACGGGTGCCCGGATCCTTTGGGCCCATCCAAGGGCACGTCCTCTTTTTCTCCTGGGGTTTGCTGATGATGTGGTTTCTCTTGTGTAGCCTCGCATGGACCAGTATTTTAATCAGATGGAGAAGATTGTGAAAGAGAGAAAAACATCTTCGAGGATCCGGTTCATGCTTCAGGACGTAATAGACCTCAGGCTGGTACGTACCCACTGAAATAAGGAAAAGAGCCCCTTGCCTTTTGCAGCGGGCTGGAGATGCACTCCCGCAAGAGCAGGGAGTGCAGCACTCGGAGTAGTTGCTGCATTTGTGCTTTTTTGCTTTCCCAGTGCAACTGGGTTTCGCGGCGAGCAGACCAGGGCCCGAAGACCATTGAGCAGATTCATAAAGAAGCCAAGATTGAAGAGCAGGAAGAACAGAGGAAGGTCCAACAACTCATGACCAAAGACAAGAGGAGACCGGGTAAAGTAAAAGTCAAGTTGGCTGCTCTTTTCAGTGCTGCACATTCAAGGGCCACAGTCAGAATACCACCTAAAATATTTTTTTTTTCCTATATTTAATGAAGAGGAGGGATTTGGAGCCTGGTTATGGCTGAGGCTGGAAGTGGAACAGATTTGCTATGGATTGGCAGGGAGGCAATTGGGGCAAATCCCTTGGTAGAAATAAACATCCCAGAGCAATAGTATTTAAGTTTTATTCATGCAAACTACATCTTTTTTTCTGTTCCTGAAGCATCACGTTCCCTCATGTTAGTGTTAAACCCTGTCCCGTATTTTATCTGGACTCGGCAGTTTCAGTAAGGCAGCAAGGCACCGCTGGCAGTGGAAATGATCAAAAGGTTTTCTTTCCTTCCAGAAAGGCTGGAAATAATCTTGTCAAAGTACAGAATAATTTTAAAGTGAGTCGCCACTGGCAAAACATTAAAACACCCATTGCCATGTAAGTAGGAGTAAGGTAGAAGTCAAATGGCCCCTGAGAGAAGTGCGGAGGGAACTTTCCTTAAGCAGGAAGCGGCACTACAAAACTCTGACCTTAGAAATATTGTTGCTTACATCAAGGCTATTTTAGAATAATAAAGTCAAGGAAAGCAGGTCTGTGAGCTCAGTCCAAAGAAATGCCCTGAGAGATGATTTTGGCATAGGATTGTGCAGGGGCTTAGCCAGCTGCACCGCCTTCGGTCGCTCCTTGTGTTGAATTTGGAGATGGTTGTGTGCAGTCTGCTTGTGTGCAGCAGATAAGGAGCTACAGGAAAGCACATCTGTCTTTCGGTAGGTGTCCAGCGGGTCGATGAAGGCGGTTGGAACACTGTGCAAGGGGCAAAGAACAGCAGAGTGCTGGACCCCACCAAGTTCCTTAAAATCACCAAGGTAGGTACCAGTGCAAAGCTCCTCCAGAGCCACAAGAGCGCCCATGTCACCTGGCAGCATCCTTGTATGTAGCAAAACCTGCTGTGCTACTTGCAGCTCAAAAGCTCTTTGGGCCAGCGGGTTGGTAATTTAAATTCCAAAAATTTATAATGTATGTAAATAAAACACAGAGAGAGAAATGCTGTCCTCCTCTAAATGTCCTTGTTTTGTTTGTTTCAAGGAAAAGCAGCACATATAAATGTTTCCAAGTACTCACAGGGACGCTTTTAGTGACTTGTAAATACTCTGATTTGAAAAGCTGCATTTTATTAAGCGGTGAAAGAGTGAATGGAGATGCTACATTCAAATTTAAAACAAAACGTTCCCAATCTGTCAATTGGCAGCACTCAAGGTCGAAAGGTTCGGGTCGCATGAGAAGAGCAGTGCCCACTGCTGGCTTTGGTGAACAGCAGAGACAGTTTATTTCTTGCAAACATTTTTGAAGTACTGTGCTTTTTCCTCTACCAAGCTCCATTGCTCCTAATCGCCAAAAGCTCCCAGACAAGGTGAATAATCTCACACTTTGGAAGAGGCTGTTTCTGATGCACTTGAATGTGTCCTCTGTCTTTGACTAGAGTTCGGTGTCCCAAGAGTGCGTTAAAAATACATTTTTTTTTTTGATTCCTAAAGCAAGTATCCTGGGGTTGTTGCAGAAAACTACCCAATGTATAAAATAATGTAAATTTTTCCCTTTGATGCATTTTACAGCCCACAATAGATGAGAAGATACAGCTTGTGCCTAAAGCCCAGTTGGGCAGCTGGGGCAAGGGCAGCAGTGGTGGAGCCAAGGCGAGTGAGATGGGTAAGTCAGAGGGAACCCGCTCTTCCTGCCAAGTTTTGGGGCTGGGAATGGGGCCAAGAAGGGGTGAGGAGGTGGGGATACATCTGCATCCCAGCAGAACCAGCAGCTGAAGCTTAACTCCAAGCCAGTCCCAAAAGAAAAGCGGAGTATATGCTCAACCCTAGTGTCACCAACAAATCCAGTGCATCTGGTTTTGCTGAATGTCTAACAAGCAGCGATAAAGTGGGGCAGGATCAGCCCTTTCCCTTCCCTCCCCATCACTCTGAGAACAGCAGCTATTGCTTAAACAGTTTTGTGATGCCTGTTGCCACCAACCCTGTCCTTGATCCCTGTGTTGTCTCTGCAATCTCGCAGACTCCTTACGACCAAGTGCCACTAGTCTGAACAGATTTTCTGCGCTGCAGCCTCCAGTCTCATCCGTATCTGCCTCATCTGCATCCTCAGAGTTAGATTCTCGCAGGGCCTTAACTAGGTAAGGTTCAGACTGCTGGTGACATTCCCCTTCCCCTGTTGACACACCTGTGCTTCTCCCTTGCTGCTCCAATTCCTAGTGCACTGATAGAAGAGATTTTGAATGATTTGTTTCCAGGAATGGCCGCATCTTTTCTCCCTCTGTTATTGAGTTAACTTAAAACATATCCGTCTTTTATAATACCAAAGGAAAGGCCTCTGCTTTGATTTTTAAAGCAGTCATGATGAGTGTCTTAGTTTTCCACTTATCAGTCACCGTTTAGGTAAAAAGATAGACTTACTGGTGGTTTATAAGTTTGATAACTCTTAATAAATGATAACATATAGGGACTGGATTCAGTGGTCAGGAATTCAACCAAATCAGGAGGTTTATTTATCCAGAAGAAACACACCTAAAGCAGGTGCAGATTTAGCAAGGCTCTCAAATGCTCAGACCCCATCCCATTAGCCAAGTCCAGCCTTGCTCTTGTCTCCCCACGGTGTCACACACTGCCTGGCAGTTCAGCAGGAGAGCTCTCCAGCTCACTGCATGCAACATGTAGTAACCCTTAATAACAGATTAACTCTTGAAGTGGTCTGTAAACACACCCACACCTGCTGCTGTGCTGTTTTGCCGGTGCTTTCCTGTGTGTTCAGCTAATCAGTGTCTTTAACGCCAGCAGCACCGTCAGCAGGGTGTTCTTGTGCCGTAGCCTTTTCACTGAGTGTGTTTTTCTTCCTTAGTCGTGGGAGCACGGGCAGGGAGAAGAATGACAAACCTCTCCCACCTTCGCTCTCCCGTCCAAACACCTTCCTTCGAGGCAGCAGCAGTAAAGAGCTGCTGCTGGACAACCAGGCGCAAGAGGAGCAGCGGCGAGAGATGCTGGAGACGGTGAAGCAGTTAACGGGCGGCATGGAGGTGGAGAGAAACAGCTCAGAGGCCGACAGGAGCAAGGCCAAGGAGCCTGGTAAGCAGCCCTCCTGCAAGGGCTGGAGCACATGCACAAGTCCTGCTGAACATGTGAAGCAGCTTGTGGGAGAACTGATCAGTAGAAGTGACAGATCTCCCTGCAGTCATGTGGATGTTCGGCCCGCAGTGGCAGAACATCAGGCTTTGATTGCTAGAATCTGTGTCCTGAAGGTGTGCAACACAGTTGATTTAGAAGCTGCTTAGCACCAGCTTCTCTCACCAACTCCTCCTTAGATTTCCTCAAGGTCAGGAGGCAGAAGTTACCTGCTAAACACCAGTCCCATCGTTGTCTTTTCCACTCATCTCCTTTTGCAGCTGATTTCTGGGATGGACATCCCCAAAGCCAGGGAGCATCTTCTCAGATAATCTCATGTATCTAAAATCTGTCTCCCGGAATAAGTCACGGTGCTTTGAGGAATATCAGGATGTAAAATAGGTTAGGAGAAGCTTTGGAATCACACATCTTCCAGGTTATTTGTGGGAGATCTGATTTTGTCTGTGTTAGCGAATCACCAACTCTTTGCAGAGAAGGACACGATGAGAGGATGGAAACAGGCCTGGGTCCAGCTCCCGTGGTCACCACGTCCCTGGGATGTAGCCTTGGCAGGCCAGAGCAGCAAAGTGACTGTGTGAATGGTCCCAAGGTGCAAAACTGGACCCAGGCATGGATTGCTGTGGGAGCAAAGTGTGCCAAGGACCCACGGTGGTTTTGGGGGGGTCTTTGGGGTTTCCTCTCCCCTGGAGATGTGAGGATGTGATCAGGAGATTGCTTTGGATCTCTGCCCATCCAGTCACCATGCTGGAGATTTGTAGTGTGCTGCAACAGCCTGGAGTTTAATTACTTAGTGCTGATAGAGTACTTGAAGGTGTTAAATTCTGTGCCACTGCCAAGTGTTTTTTAGGTTGAGTTACAGAAATATAGAGGGTTCATATAAAGGGAGGGAGTATCTAGAACCAGTGATGAGACATGAAACACTCTACACTGGTTTCTTCGGGGTCCACTGCTTCCCAATCAGCATCCTGTTGGTCAGCGTAGCAAATCCTGCTTTTCTGACTGCTGCAGTCCAGCCGGCAGGAACAGCCCCAGGACAAGGAGCAGGTGACTGGTGTTACCAGACTGTCTTATTGAAAACGGTGCTGATTTTCCTTTCCCAACTCTCTCTTCTTTCTGCGTGCCTGCCAGCCAAGCCAGAAGCGCCCCCAGCTCCCGTACAAGACAAGCCTTCATTATCAGAAGAGGAAATCGAGAGAAAATGCAAATCTATCATTGATGAGTTCTTGCATATTAATGATTTTAAGGTAAGCAAAATGAAAACCTTGCATGGAGAGGTCTGCAGCCATGGGCCTTTGAGTATTTTTTTTTCTCCAGAACAGTGTCTTTATAAGCACCCAGTTCCAGAGGTAATGAAAATGCTACCTGTTAAAATCCAGACAGCCACAGCTCCAGGGGTAGTTTGAGGCGGTTGTCTCACCACTTTGTTTTGTGCTCCTGTTAGTAATGGGGAAAATAGCCCATTTTGTGTGTTTTAAGTAGCAAGGTGTATGTGTAGCTGTCATGAATCACTGAGCAACTTCATAATAATAGCAATTTTGGAAGCAGGAAAGCTAATGGGAAAATAAACTGAGGTTTTCATTCAGTTACCAAAGCATGTGCTGTTCTGATCCAGAGGCAGATGAAGCAATACTAAATATTGAACAAACTACTCCACAGTATTTTTCATAAACACTGGGAATTACTGAGCAGCTGTCCTCATTTCCTCGTTAAAGGTTACAATTTTGTTTCCCTTGTAAATGGATTTTTTGCATGTCCAGGGACTTTGCAAGAAATGTTACATTTGCTGCAAAGGTGATTGGTTTAATCTTTAGATGAACAACAACAACAAAAATCTAAAACCCTGCCAAGTTTGAACGGACGGTGCCAGGACTTTCTGATTTGGCACCTTAAATACAGAGCTATTGCTTGTGTTTTAAATTGCTTCCAGGTAAAATTAGAAAAAGAGAGAAGATTCTTAAGATTGATGCTTTAGGTTATCGGGAGATTTGCAGAAAGGCACAATTGGATTCACAGTGTCTGCAGGTCGAGCAAACCTCAGCAAGAGGAGTCCGAGGGCTGCTAGATCAGATTAGTTGGTTAAGAAAGGAGCCTCCAGTCCTTCTTCTTTTTGAAATAAATTTGAAAATCTAACATCTGGACACCATGATCTGTCCATTGCGTCTAGTGCTCTGACCAGTCTGGGTGAGCGCCAAGCTCACGACCTATGGAAAAAGACCATCTAAGACCTCCAGAAATTCATCTGGGGCTGCCTGGTCTTGCTGAAGGCATAACCTAAGAAGTCTGGCCAGAAAGCCCACCGAGACCCTCTGGGTTGAACCTAGAGGGTCAGCTGAAGATCTGCACTGACAACAGTGGAGATATTTTCAAGTATGACATTGAGTATTGCTTTGAAAGCCTGTGCTTTATTGGCTTAAGTTACAAAATACATGTGTCAGAAGACAGATGCTTTATAAAGAGGAAATTTTACTCCAGAAGTGACCCGTTTAATTTTGGCTTCTTAACATAGTATGTTTTGTAATTCCTGGGCCACTAATGCATGTAACCCAACACCCTCTTTTTGACCGGGCTCGATGTTTTACCCAGTCCGTGACGCTCTGTGTTGTCCGAGCAGGAAGCGATGCAGTGCGTGGAGGAGCTGAGCGCCCAGAACCTGCTGCCTGTTTTCGTGCGAGTGGGAGTGGAGTCCACGCTCGAGAGGAGTCAGATCACCAGGGATCACATGGGCCAGTTGTTATATCAGCTGGTGCAGTCAGGAAAGCTGAGCAAGCAGGATTTCTTCAAGGGGTTTGTATCCAGCACATCCACACAGATACTTTTGTTGAGCGCTCGTTGCAAGCGCTGCGCTTCGCTTTGCATCGGCCAGGCATTATTTCCCACATTGGGTTGCTAGCAGCAATATTCTGAGCTCTCCGTGCCTCTTTTGTGAAAGAATATTTTCATTTAGGTATAAGTAATACAATAATTACTAGTCTTTTAAGTATTTGAAATGCTTTAATGAACGTAAATACTTCAGTATTTATGTAACTATTTATTTGTAAGTACATCTGTAGGTATATGTTCCAGTGTGCGTGTTTATATTTTTTGTGATGTTTTTGTCCATGTTTGCCTTTTGGCAAATCATTCGATGCAATTAGGATCAGGGAGGAAGAAGATAAAATACGTGAGTGGCATTAATGCCTTGAAAACTGAAATCCTGGGCCACTGCCAAACCACGACCACTCCTCTAGTGGGAAAAGAGGCTTCATCTGCATGATACCCTTTGTCGGGACGACTTGCCTCTAAAGTGTAGTGGGAGCACGTGTGCCAGATGCAGGTACCAAGCAGATCCTTCTTCCTCGGAAAGCTGAATTTCAACCGCCTGCTCGTTTCGGTTCACATGGCCCCTGCTCTGGATTCCACTTGGTGTCTGGTTGTGGTCTCCTGCGCCCCTCGGTGCTTGCTGGAGGCTTAGACTGGGATGATTAAACAGAAATAACAGTGAAAAGCAGCCAGAGAACAGATGAGATGATGCTTCCAGGCCATGAGTTTCAAGGTATTTGTTCTGACTTGCTGCTTTCATGTCTCGTGCTGGCTCCACTGACTGCTCTCATGGTGATGTCCCCGCAGCCATGGTGAGTAGGGATTTTCAGGATGACAAAATCCTGTAGCTCTCCTGTAGGAGAAGAGGAGGCAGCTGAGACTGAAACTGCAGGGAGCAGCAGTGAAAAACATCCGCAGGGAGAGCCCGTGTCTGTATTCATGCAGTCGCTGATGGCCGAAACGGCTTGTGCTTAGTGATACATTTCCATGATGAATCGTGGTTGAAGCTGTTATTGCGTTTCCCAGGGTGTGGATAAGTGGCCGTGCTGCCCAATCAGTGATCAAGGGATCTTGGTGAAATCCCAGGACCTGCGGTCTGAATGTGGCATAAACAAAGTGCAACCACTTTTGAAGATGAGGATGGCGCCAGTGCCCTTGGTAGTATGCAGTGGGTGCAGGATAAGAAGGCTGCAAACAACTACAGCTGCTCACACAAGACAAATTGCTGTGTAATTAGAGGGTGTGGTGTGAGTGCTGGTCACAGCGCAGCTCCGGGGACACACGCGACGCGAAACCAATTGCTGGCAGAAATGCTGGGACAAACCTGGATTGAAGCAGCACCAGAGGATGGAGAGAACAAAGCAAATGAGACAGTCCCCGCTCAGTCACAGAATCACTGAATCCTTAAGGTTGGAAGAGACCTCAGAGATCATCCAGTCCAACCTCCTTGCACACACAGGGTCACCTAGAGCACGTGGCACAGGCTGTGTCCAAGTGGGCTTTGAAGATTTCCAAAGAAGGGGACTCCACAACCTCTCCGGGCAGCCTGTTCCAGGGCTCGGGCGCCCTCACTGTCAAGAAATTTTTCCTTAAGTTCCTGTGGAACTTTTGGTGCCTCAGCTTGTGGCCATTTCCTCTAGTCCTGTCGCTGGCCACCACTGAAAAGAGGCCGCCCCCTCCTCCTCACTGCCTCCCTTGAGGTCTCTATAGACACTGATCAGGTCCCCCCTCAGCCTCCTCTTCTCCAGGCTGAACAGGCCCAGCTCTCCCAGCCTTTGCTCACAGGGCAGATGTTCCCGGCCCCTGATCATCCTGGTAGCCCTGCACTGGACTCTCTCCAGCAGCTCCACATCCCTCTTGTCCTGGGCAGCCCAGAACTGGACACAGGCTCCAGATGTGGCCTCCCCAGGGCGGTGTGTAGGGGGACGATCACCTCCCTCGACCTGCTGGAGACGCTCTTCTTAATGCACCCCAGGATCCCGTTGGCCTTCTTGGCCACCAGGGCACACTGCTGCCTCAGGGTCATCGTGTCGTCCACCACGACGCCGAGGTCCCTCTCTGCGGGGCTGCTCTCCAGCAGGTCAGTCCCCAGCCTGTCCTGGTGTCCGGGGTTATTCGTCCCCAGGTGCAGAACCTTGCACTTGCCCTTGTAAGGGATAGACAGCCTCAAAGGCTGTTCCTAACACTGGTGTGCAAGGGTGGAGATTAAGTGTAAAACAGACCCAGGGTCTTCAAGATTTTAAGGGAGAAATGATTGGTTTTAAAACTCTGGAGAACAAGAAAACACAATCATGTTGCAGCAGGTGTGGAGCCCCTACGAGCTTCTTGTCAGGAATGACGAGTGCTGAGCAGCTCTGGAAACCTCACAGGGAGCTGGGAGAGATATTGTAGTTGGGCCTGCCCCGTTTCACGTTCTGTCTGTTGTCTGGCCAGCTTGAGCAGATGATTCATGGAAGAAGAAAGAAACTCCCTCCTGTTTTACTGAACATTCCCTTGTGTTGTCTTTTAGGCAGGTGATGGCTCACACAAGAATTAATTGAGTGTTGTGCTATGTTACATGTGGCCTCCCCTTAATTTTTTTAAGGAAACTCCATTTATTAGACCTTGTATGTCCATAGACAAAAAGACCTTTTTCAGGTTTTATTAGCTGGTGACAGTGCATTGCTTGATTGGAAGAATTACTCTAAATAAAGCTCTTCTGGATGGAACTTGTGCCCCGTGGTACTGCCTAGAGATAGTACTAACTCCTGGCACTTTTGAAGTGCTGAAAGTATTAGATGGCAGCAGTATGCTTTGTTATCCTTGATTTGCTTTTATTTTAAGACAAAGGATTTAATATGGTGCAGATTTACTTGGCAGGAGAACAGACTTAAACTGTATTTAATGCTTGACTTTTTTCCCCTTCTTTTTCTAAAGGTTTTCAGACACCTTGGAGATGGCAGATGATATGGCCATAGATATCCCTCATATTTGGTTATACCTAGCTGAGTTGGTGACCCCCATGTTAAAAGAAGGAGGAATCTCTATGAGAGAACTTATGCAGTAAGGAACACCATTTTCTTTCAGTGGCTGTTTGGTTATTCTTGTGTTTGTAATGACTATTTGGGGATTAAGTAGTTTAATTACTACCCCTTGTCTTGTGTTCTGGGGATAATTCAAATTACAAAGAGGAATAATCTCTTTTTCTTTCATTCTAGAGAATTTAGCAAACCTTTGCTTCCTGTGGGAAGAGCCGGGGTCTTGCTTGCTGAAATCTTGCACCTTCTATGCAAACAAATGGTAAGTGTCCAGGTGTGCAGCTCGTAGTTTTGAGCCGGATGCAACACGTACATGTTTATGCATGAAGCCACATACATGCTCACACTTCCCACACAGAGGTGCTTAGAGATGGGTCAGCCAAGCCACATAACGTAGGAAACCCGCCTCTCCATCCCCAGTCTCACAGCAAGCATTACGAGGCTCCCAAAAAGTTGAGTTAACTTTTCTTTCTCATCACTTTTCCCTTTTGCAGGTACCTTTGCACCTGGCTTCTTCCAGAAGCTAGAGTGCTGAAATACTGCAAGAGGGACATTCTCGAGGTATTTCTGGGCTGACCAGAAGCAGCAAGTACCGGAAAAATCTTGTGAGAGAGCAGTTCTTGGAGCCCGGAGAGGTTCTGAGGGTTCGGATAAGCTTCAGATGGCCTCAGACTTCTGGTTGCTTATCCAAACTAAACCTGCCAGCTCTAGGACTCACCCACCACTAGGGGTAGTGACACCTTTTCACCCTGTAACTTCTAGAGCTCTCTTACGCGTGTCACAGTTGTCTGTCCAAACAGTTTGATGGTTTCCATATAACTCTGTCTCCGTTTTTGTCTTTTTTATTTTTATTTTTTTCAATTCAGCTAAATAGTGCACTTTGGATAGAGTCTATTTTAAGCGTTGTAAAATCCCTTCACTTTCCTGTTTTTAAAGCATGCGTTCAAATAAGGTGGACTGTTCTGGGAGCATTTCAGTTTAGCAGTGTGGATAGTGGCTTCTTATTTATTTATTTTAGTCAATTGCTTGTTTGAACAGTTGATTTACATTTTTTTTTCCCCTTCTGTTCTCAGAAACAAAAGCTGCCGTGCTCTGGGACTTGAAGCACAGGCTTAGGCTTCCATTTCTGCCACAGCTTTCTGATGCGATCTTATCTAGACCACTTTTGGGTATAGTCTGGGGTATTTTGAGTTAGACATTTCCATCTGGGATCAGTCACCCAATCCTCATGCTGGTGGATTGCAGCAGGGACTCTCCTAATCTGTATATTAAATTTCAAAATATTCAGACTGTTTTTACATCATTGCTTAGCTTTGGCTCCACAGTGACCCCCACTCCTTGTTTAGGTGCTACAGGATAAGTATTTTTGCAGAGCTTTTGGGTGAGAATAGCTGGTTGTCACTAGAGTTTTTACGCTTGCCAGAATTGCATATGTGCCGTTTTAAACGAGATACCAAAAGGTCAGCCTGACATTAGGAGATGCAAAAGGTTGTGCTGTAGGTGCCGTGAAAGGAGCTTTCCTCAAAGTCTGCAATAAAGTCTAGGAATTGAAGAGTGAACTTGGTGCTACATAGCTGTGTTTGAGGCTTGATGTCTGCACAGAAAACAGCCCCGCAAATAACAATTTTCTAGTAGATAATTTCCTGGTGTCTTAATGTCAGAGTATGGAAGAGTGAGTCATGGAATAAGTTGGTGGCAGAGTCAGGAGAAGAATCCAGGTCATCCAACTGCCAGCTCCGTGTCACAGCTGCAGGACACGGTGCCTTGCTCATACATAGCCCCTCTCCATAGGTAACCCCCGATGGAAGGTGTTACAAACCCCATGTATCACATCACACCTTGTTTTAGCACACATCTCCGCGGTGTGTGACCACTTTACGAGCGACTTATACCTGTGGCAGGATTGCATCTGTGGTTGATATGATTTCTCTTGCACGGGATCTCCAAATGTGATCACTTCATTGCTAGGCATCTTGTCTGGTAGCTGAACAGCTCTTTATTTCTCCTGACACAGCATCACCATTCCAGCTTGCGTAAGCTCCCCCGAGCTTCTGGAGAGTCATTTAAAACGGGCAAAAATGTTTGTGTTTTAGAGCCATAAGAAAGTGGGAACCTTATGGAGGGAGACTGGCCTCAGTTGGAAGGACTACTTACCTGAAGGGGAGGATGTACATACCTTTCTCATGGAACAAGTGAGTTGAGAGCAAGTGTCTGCTTGGTGATTTGGGTCTGCTGAGTTTGGGTCCCCAGTCCTGTCTTTGAGTCTCCTTCCCTCCCATCCTTACGTGCAGAGGAAAGTGTGTAAATCATTTTAAGGATAACTTAGCATTGGAAAGTGGCAGAAAGCAGAAGGAACTGTAGCTGTTGTCTTGATGCAGCGCAGGAAAGTAGATATAACTGGTTCTCCTCCTGGCTTCTGATGTTGCAGAAGTTGGACTTCACGGAGTCTGACTGTTCCAGTTCCTCAGAAGCACTTTCAGAGAAGGAACTCTCTGCAGAAGAGCTGAACAAACAGCTAGAAAAACTCATCGTCGAGGACAAGGCGAACGACGAACAAATCTTTGACTGGGTAGAGGTACAAAGACCATTTCCACCTTCCCTACGCGGAGCTTGTTAACCACTTTTGCAAACACGTTCTCATCTGGAGGGGCGTCTCCATCAGGCCTTTCGTTACGTTCGTGCAGTGCCAGGTCTGAGCTAGTCTTGGCCTTTGGGAAGAGTAGCTGGGAGACGCCTATAATCTGTAGTCCCTGGCATAGAGCAGCTTCCTTATCGCTGCGGTAGCTCCCCAGAGGTGAGACGTTACCGGGCTCGTGCAGCCCCAGCCCGTGCGTTGCCAGTTGAGGCACGTTTGCCTTCGTGGCGATGCCTCTGTGCTTTGCTAAGGGGGTTGCCATATGACACGAACCAGAATTGAGAAATAAACACAATGCGCTGTTTTTAAAAAAGCTCTTTCTTGGGGGAAAAAAAAGGTACTGCTATTACCTTCCTCTGGGTAACTGCACTTAAATAGACTTTCCCTCTGAACTGTTGCTTCTGGTTCAGACAGACATGGCCATGACATTGTAAACCAAGTCTGTTGCTATGTTCCTTCTTGCCTCGTGTTCCCTTTCTGAGTGTTCTTATCCCTAAACATGGGATAAAAGCATCTCGTTGTTTTTTGTGACATGGCCTACGCAGATTCCCCCCTGCCCAGCTGCATACCGTGCCATGCTTTAAAAACATCTGAAGTTTGGACCACACCAGAGAGCGCATGTCCCTTGGACCAGACAGTGTAAAGGGAAAAAAAAGAAAGAAAAGAGACAATAGTAACAAAAAAGAGATTTATTTTTATTTTATTTTACCCTTAACTCTAGCATCATCCTACAAGCCAGATTTTAAATCTTTCTTCTGACACAGAGCTCAGCCTAAAGTGTTTATAGCTCTGCTTGCAGCTAAAAACCTCGGTCAGCGTCGCTGCAGCTCTTTGTGTTGCTGGAGGGATGTGCTAGAAATGTCCTTTTTCACTTGCTGCGAGGGCAGCAGAGTGCGAGCAGCACTGAAAATCTCGGGACACCCGCAGGCTCCTGGGCGAGTTACGCGGCCACTCCCTCTGTTTTCTCTCTGTACAAAGCAAATCCACCAGGGAGGACTCCACAAAACATGTCAAAGAAGTGGAAGACACATAGAAAACGTATAAAGGCACCGCAAAAGCTGAACGTTGTCGTTTCGATCGATTTATCGAGCCGACAAACTAGGTGGTGGGAGCAGTTAAATCGGTTGTGCTGGTCGCAAGAGAACTGTCGTTGCACTGATGTACCTGAGCTGCTCTCGAGGGGATGCTGTGTTTTTGCAGAGGGGTGAATTGGTCTCCTGCTGCAGGAGCCTTTGCTGAATTTGCACCTGCTGCCGAATTCGGCGGTGGCTTTTGGGAGCGGTTGCTCTTACGCGCTGGAGTGTTTTTAACTGGTCCATTTACTCTTGATTTCAGGCTAATCTAGATGAAAACCAGATGAGTTCACCTACATTCCTTAGAGCTTTAATGACAGCAGTTTGCAAAGCAGCTATTATAGGTGAGTTACTCACAGTGCAAACACCAAACAAACCAATCAAATGTGCCAAAAATTATTTTAGGGGGTTTTATTTAAGGTTTATATCACTTTCTCTTCTCCTTTTGGGCTGCTTTTCACACTGACACACCCCAAAGATTTTTGCACCGTATTGATCTGCAACAGCCAGTCACTTTGTTGGGGCTGCTACTCTGCACTCCCTTTCACCTGAGCAGATATTTCAGACCACTGAGCAACGGCAGATCATTTTTGTTGACTCTTTTCCAGCGAAGGTGGAAAAAGTGCTAGACGTTATTAGGATAATGAGCATTTCCAGCGCGGAGGCAGCAAGGGCGTGTGGGAGCCGGGAGCGTGGGCTGCAGCGCAGAAGCAGCCGGCTCGGGCTCATTAATGGTCTTTATGTCCCAAATGAGGGGCATTTTGGGGGAGAGAGTTCACGTGGATTGCTTGAATGTACATCGAGCCATGACGCCGCAGGGCCTGGCAGTCACTTGGAACTGCGAGGAGAGGGTGGGTTCCTGAAAAAGAAGTGTGAGCACCAGAGCCTCAGGAGGCTGAATGAAGCACTGCCAGCCAGTGCAAACATCTGGCCTGTTCACGTTGTTTCCTTTAATTTTACTGTTGGCGTCTGGTGAGGCGAAGAAATTGGCCTTGTAAAGTGCCCGTTTCTGCCCCCAGCTGCAGGAGTCTGGCTTGGGGAAGGGATAGGTCGGAATTGCGTCTTGCCGCTGCATGAATGCAGGGGGAAAGACACAGCCCAGTTCCTTTCTTCCTGGAAAACAGAATCTTTCGGATGCCACCTAGTGTTAATGGCTAAATGACATTGGATTTATGATAAATGTGTAAGGGTTGCCTAATGTATCTCTGCTGGGAGGGTATCTGTGACATCTTGTTTTACTTTCCATCTCTCTTCTGAGATTCTTTTAGTTTTCCAAAATTCTTAGCCTTGTTTTTAGCGTGTTCTACTGAAAAGCAGCTGGAAGGAAGCAGACTTCTAACACACTTCAGTGTATTTCTGATTTGCTATGTCCAATGCAGTTTATAATTCTGTTTTTGCTGTAGTGTTTTTCGTACTCCATGCTAACTCAGAGCTGTGATTTCTGTTTTAATCAGGTGATAAGAGACCTGTCCCTGCTGCCAGGTACCAAAGCTAACGCTGTTTTCCCCTCTCACCTTCAGCGGACTCTTCTAGCTTCCGTGTGGACAATGCTGTTATCAAGCAGAGAGTGCCCATCTTACTCAAGTACCTAGACTCAGACACAGAGAAGGAACTACAAGCACTTTATGCACTACAAGCATCAATAGTAAAACTTGATCAACCTCCTAGTAAGTGTCCTGTCTGTGCTGGGGGGTTGACTCTTAAGAAAATGTTGCTTCTGTGGGAGGAAAGTCTAGTGCTGGAAGAGAGATGTGCTTTTCCTGATAGTGAAGCTGTGTTTATATGGAAAAGATGAGGGAAAGCAGCTTGCAGTAGTTTCTAATTTCATCTTTGAGCAGTGCAGTCCCCCCATTACTTGGCTAGAGTGTTTTTCTCCTGGTTGTGGTGCCAAAAGAGGAAAATGCAGGAAATGTTACAAAACCTGGACATGCAAGAGCACCGCGCCTGGCGATTGCAGCGCTGTCCGCAGATACGAGCCGCCTTGGAGTGAATAAAATGAGTTGCACAAGTGACAAGGCTTGTGCCAGGAATGCTGGAGGAAGGCACTTTTGGAAAAAGAGAGCAGGGGTTGCCCAAGAAATGGGAATACCCAGGGAGCCGGGAGTGCACTAGGACCTCCAGCATGGGAGGAAGCTGGGTTCCTTCTCAGCTGTGTCGAACCAGCCAGGAAGGGATAATTTAGTAAGAGGCCTCGCTTTTTACTTGTGTCTGCATCTCCCGCTGCAAAGGTCACGTTAATCGCCTTATCTGTAACTGTGGCTTTGTCGGCCCTCAGCCGCGCAGCTCTTACAGCTCTCCCGCTCTTGCCTCCTTGCAGATTTGTTGCGGATGTTTTTTGATTGCCTGTACGACGAGGAGGTGATATCGGAGGATGCCTTCTACAAGTGGGAGAGCAGCAAGGACCCAGCGGAGCAGAACGGCAAGGGAGTAGCGCTAAAATCCGTCACGGCGTTCTTCACGTGGCTACGGGAGGCCGAAGAGGAGTCGGAGGATAATTAAAACTTAAAAAAATACAGAGAGAAAAAAAAAAAAAAAGAAAAAAAAAAGAAACAAGTATTTTTTTAAAAAGTTTCACGTCTTCGCCAATCACAGTGCAGCAAGGCCAATTCTCGCGCAGACCCCCCCTTCCCCCACACATGCACGAGTGGGAGAGGTAAAAATAGCTAAACACAAAGGTGATCATGGAGGAAAAAAAGGTACTTGAAAACAAAAAACTTCAAACCTGAGGGCGGGAGCACTAAACCAAAATACATGTATTATTTATAGAAAATATTTTCTGTTTTAATCTTTTTTTTTCTTTCCTTTTTAAACAAGGACTCATACTTACAGAAACACAAAGCGAAATGAATCTGTTTAGCACAAAGAAAAAAGTTGAAAACTTTTAATTTATTATTTTAAGGACTGCAAATGCCAGTGTAATTTTTAAATTTGCAGTTTCTGTAAACAAATTGTATAATAGAACAAAAGCAGAGAAATAAATTTCCCTCCCCTTCCTACGCACCTCAGTTTTGTTTCAAAGCATGATAACTAGACAAAACTTTCAAGGGGTTTGGGGTAAGCTAGATGAGGAAGAGAGAAATTTTTTTTAATTGTCAACAGATTTTTTTGCCTGCCTCTCAGCTTGCTTCAGAAATTTAAAAGAAAAAAAATAATAATCAAAACGTACATAACCTTGGAACGGAAGGAAATGCATTTGAGAAAACTGCTGTGGACCAGAGTGCTCCGAAAATAACTCGTTCAAAACAGTGCTACCCTGGGGGAAAAGGAAAACAAAAACAAAAGTACTAGTGATACTTTCAGAACCTTTAGAGCAACTTTAAGGCTTGTAAATACATAGAACAAATATTTAAAAAAAAAAAAAAAAGAAAAAAAAAGGAAAAAAGAAATTGACTCAATACTATTTCTTTTCACTTTCGAAATATAAAGAACAAAATAAAGACAAACATTGCAAGTTTAAAAGAAAGTAAAACGGCTTCTCCTTTGACAGCTGCTGCCCGCGCGCAGCCTCGCCGGGGCAGCCCCAAGTTGCTCGCGTGCGGCCGCGCGAGGGCTCAGAGCGAATTGTGCAAACGGGGCTGGCTGCTCGGGAGAGCCTTCTCTGCAGCGAGAACTTGGTGGCCGCGGGCACTGGCCTGGTCGCGGCGGGAGCCGCTCGCGGCCGCCACGGCCTCGGGAGGCCGCAGCCTTCGGAGGCCGACGGTCGCTCGGCCGCCCTTCACGTCGCCGTCGCCTCCCTGCGCTGAGGAAGCCAAAGAGCGGAGAAGGAAGCGACCCGCGCCGCGAGCGAGTTCCCTGCGGAGCGTCGGCTGCTGCTCCGCGGCGGCTGCTCACGGGACGCCGGCTCTTTCTTTCCAGCTGCTACATCACTTCCTTTTTTTAAAAAAAAAAAAAAAAAAAGAGAAAAATGAGGAGGAAAAAAGCTACGACTACGTTAAATGCTTTCCTAATCTTCCTTTTACATGTAAACTCTTGCTGTACGTGCATAAGGATGTTGTGTGATCACCAGGGGGGAAGGGAGGCTGGCGCCTGGATGTGGCCGGAGCGGGAGACGTCCATGAACCGCATTCACTGTTACCGTGTTCCCTGCCGGGCCTCCGAGCTGGAGCCTCCGTGGCCTAAAACACTAGAGCGTTGGTTTGTTTTTTTTTTTTTTAAGTAACAATAAAACACTTTTCTCTGACTTTTTGTTAAAAAAAAAAAAAAAACACGAAATCTCACCCTTGATCTATGCATATGTATGTGGTTGTATGATGTATGATGCCCAATGCCTGCTCCCACCAGCACTGCGTGGATCTCCCCTCTCCCAGGACAACCAGGAAGCATCGGAGCCCGGAGCTGCTCCACAAGCTGCACATAAGGCTTGGGATTTATTTAGTGCATGGAAACGGGAAGGATTAGCAGAGCCTCCGAAGAGCCTCCCGAAGGAAGCACGGTTTTCCAGGGACAGGTAATGTTAATAACTTGGGCTCATTCCAGCGCCGCTGTGGAGATGCCCACGTGTCTATGGAAAACTGCGGTGGCGCAGACTCGGGTTCTTTTGTGCAGTGCTGTGAATAAACGTAAAATTGGGGTGGGATTAATGTTATTAGGGGGCTCCTGCAGCCGCAGAGGTGGGCAGTGGGGATCCTGTCTCCATGGGCGGCGTTCCCTCCTCGTCCTGCTTGGGAAGGCGGAGGTGACTGGAAGGAGCCCCCCCTCTGCCAACCTGCTGGTGAGTAGGAAAAGGCTTGGGCTGGAGTTTCTCCAGGTGAGGAGGAACTTCTTTACTGTTAGGGTGACAGAGCAGTGGAACAGGCTGCCCAGGGAGGTTGTGGAGTCTCCTTCTCTGGAGGTCTTCAAAACCCGCCTGGATGCCACCCTGTGCCACATGCTCTAGGTGTGCCTGCTTGAGCAGGAAGGTTGGACTAGATGATCTCTAGAGGTCCCTTCCAACCTTGAATATTCTGTGATTCTGTGATTCTGTGAGTGCCAAAAAAGACGATAATTTACACAAGGTTTCAGTGAAGTAATGTGAAGATGAGGTTAAAAAAAAAAAAGGAAATTTGCTAAACTTGCCCAGGAAGGGTGGCAACACCAGAGGCAAGGCCTAAACCTGACGTGCGGAGCTGCAGGCTGGCCTGACCGCTCGCATTTTACCCCGGACAGTGCCTCAGGGCAGCCCGAGCGCGGTACGGGGGCGCGCCGCCGCCCTCAGGAGGCTCCAGCGGTAACGCGCAGCGCGCACGCGCAGTGCTCGCCGCGGGGAGCCGTTAACGGCCGCGCGACTCGCGGGGCAGCGCGGCGGGCGCCTGCGCATGCGCGGCCTGCGCGCGCACCTCTGCCCCCTACCCCTGTCGCCATTGGGCCGCGCGACGTGGAAGCGCGGGGGGCGGAGAGGGGCGGTGTTCGAAAAATGCCCGGCGCGCTTCATTGGCCAGCGCCTCCCCTTGGCCACGCCCCCTCCTGCGAGGCCCCGCCCCGCCCGCGCGGCCACGCCCTCCGCCCCTTTGCCCCGGCTCCCCCCGCCGCCCCCCCCCGCCGCCTTCCTCCTCCCCCCGCCCGGTTCCCCCGCCGCCGCCATTAGAGGGGCCGCTTTGTGTCCGCCGGGCCCGCTGGTGAGTGGCCGCCGCCCGGGGCCGCGGGGAGGGCACGCGGGCACAGCCGGGCCCGCTAGGCCGCGGCGTGTGTGCGCCGGGCGGGAAACACCCCCTGGGCGCCGCCCCTGCTGTCGTGACAGAGCGGTGGAGGCGGCGGGGGGCAGGGGGGCGTCGTGACGAGTCGCGATAGGCCGCGCGGCCCTACGGGGGCGGCGGGGGAGGGCGCCGGGCCGCGCCGCCGCCTTAGGCCGGGCCTGCGCGCCAGGAGCGGCGCCGCGGCCCGGCCCGGCCTAGCTCGGGAGCGCCTCTTCCCGCCGCGGCGGGGACACGGGCCGAGCCGCAGCCCCCTGCGCGGGGACACCTGAGCAACCCCCTGCGGACACCTCGTCACACCGGCCCGCCATGGGCACCTGGTCACCCCCCCATGGGCACCTGGCCACCCCCCCATGGGCACCTGGCCACCCCCCATGGACACCAGGCCACCCCCCATGGGCACCTGGTCACCCCCCATGGGCACCTGGTCACCCCCCATGGACACCTTGCCACCCCCCATGGACACCAGGCCACCCCCCATGGGCACCTCGCCACCCCCCATGGGCACCTGGTCACCCCCCATGGACACCTCGCCACCCCCCGTCCCGCCGCCCGTGCCCCACACGGTGCCCGGAGGTGCTGGCACGGGGTGACCGGCCCGTGACGTGCCCCTGCTCCGGCCGTGCCGTTGAGGTGCTGTTTGTTTTTCCCCTTTTCCTCCTCCCAATGCGTTTCGCCCGCAGAGCGCCGAGGCCGCGCTTCCCTCCGCGCCACCTCGGGTGGCGGGACGGAGTCCCGGGACACCGGACACCTCTGGGTGCCTCCCGCGTCACAGGAGGGCTCATGATCCAATTGCCCTTCTCCTGCGTGCCTCTCCCTACGGAAAGCTCCGAATCCCGGAGGCTGGGCTGCGTCCGAGCGCGTTCATTACGGATTTGTCACCCTATCGCCACTCTGGGCCGTGTTTATTTTTCGCTCGAAACCCTCCAAAGACTTAGGAGGGGGAAGGAGCAACTTGCCGCTGTTGTGGCAGCTCGTACAGCCCTGGGCCGCGGACACGATCCACAACAAACCCCTCCTGCCGCTTGGCCAGCTCCTTCCTAGTCACAGCAGTCCGCAGGGCACGTGGCGAGAACAGGAGCGTTCCCTGATCCCGGCCTCGTGGGTGGGCTTGCTCCTCTGGACGCCCCTTCAGACGGGCGGGTTTTTTTCTTACACCTTTGGTATTTCACAGGTTATTTATTTATTTATTTATTTATTTATTTATTTATTTCCCCAGAAGTCTTGCTTGGCTGCTAGCTTGTTTCAGAGCTAACAAACGTGTAACACTTCAGTTCCTAACCTTTTTTTTTGTTTGTTTTTGAGGAATAGCCCCTCTCTGCTTTCCGTGCATTTGACTTTGTTGTTGTTATTGTCGTTTTACTGATTATAGCGTCTTCGGCAAAATAGCTGGCCGATCTTTGGCAAGCAACTCTTACTGAAGCAGCGCAGGCTTGAAAGTGCTGCTGTTGGTGCACGGTCCCCTGCCACGTGGGGACAACAGGGTTGGGGACGAGGAGAGACAAAGAAGCACTTACCTTCCTCAAGAAGGGGTTTACAGAGATTGGTGGATAACATTAGGAAGCGCTTGGAAGTCAGGGATGCGTAGGGGAAAAATACACATCAAATCTGCTGTGAGGGGAAGAGCTTTGTGAATAAACCCTGAAAATACCTACTAACTTTTGCACACCTTCTCTTTACCTGGGCATGCCTGCTAATAAGTTTGCAATCTTTCATTCACTTTTCTTGGATAAAACGTGCTTGGATTAATTCTCTCCTCAGAATATCTTCTTCTCTTGTGTTTTCTCTTCCAATAGAAACTCATGGTTGAGCTTTTGTCACGGTTTTCTTACAAGTGACCCGGGGTGTTTGGAGAATTTTAACCTTCCGTAAGAGAGAATAGAAGAAGTTTTACATTAATGGACTCTAATATGAAGTGTGAGTAGATTTTATGCAGAGTACAAGGAAATAGTAGGTGTTATTATACTCAGTCTTGTACTATAAAATAGTCAGAGATGGCTGAATCAGTAATAGCTTAAGAGAAGGGCTAATACAGTGGTTTCAAACTTATACTAAGGCAAGAATGATGTTGCCTATAAAGATTCTTTACTGTGCAATGTTAGTGGCATAAACTTACATTCAAATGTCAGTGAATTATCAACATTCATAGTATTGGATTCTGCGACTAAGTGATTTCCTCTAAGACTGTGAATCTTTCAGCATTTCCCTTGTTAAGCCTTACAAAGATGCCCAGTCCCAAGTGGGGAGTCGCAGCATCAGTCTTAGCGTAGCCATGTGCCTGTTCTTGCAGCAAAAGCAGGATCCATGTGTGAGCACAGAGCAGCAGAGCTTAATCTTTACAGTGCTTTGCCATGTAAAAGTCGGCAGAATAAGCAAGGCGCGAGTCAGGTTTCAGCAGCGGAGTCAGAGGTCCAAATTCTGGATGTTCCCCGGAGATGGAAACGTGTTCTGAGCCAGATAGAAGTTGTCTGTAGATTTTTCTCCCTGTGTAGCAGTACATATGCACATTAGAAATGCAACAGATTCTCCTCGTGCTCCCCAAAATTGGCACCCCAACAAACCGGGGGGATTTTTCCCCCCCTGCTTAATGTTACAGGAGGCTTTTATGAGAATAGAAGCTATTGCACTAGTCAAGCCAAAGAATTTCTTGCCTGGCAAGTTGCGAGCTATTGGATCGTCGTGTTGGACCACTCTTCTTGTTAATTGAAACAACATGGATTTTACTGCTTGCAGCAGCAAGGGCCTCGCGTAGCCTGTAACAGATCTGCAGGACCGAGCGCTAAGAATTCACTCCCTGCTTGCCTGGAAGAGGGAAGCTTCTCGGGATGTGGCTGTGGTGCCAGGGCCCTGGTTGCTGCTGGACCCCGGCAGCGTGAGCACCGAACGGCTGTGGTGGGAATGAATTTTGTCAAATAGGGATTAGAAGCAAGGAGTGACTTGTGTTCTTTGTTCGGGGAGATACTTTATTTCTTCACCCGTTTTCAGGCTGTTTTACCTGACCCGGTGCTACTGGGCAGCCCTAAGCGAGACACCAGGCTGCGCAGTGAGCTGTGAGGTGAGAGAGAAGGCAGGAACACCAAGCACCTGAAAACTTCCATGGGAAACTAGGACATAATTACTCAATAATCAATAGCCAGGTTGAAATCCCTTTATTTTGCCTTTTTAAGTCTTTCTGATTAAAAACAAACAAACAAACAAAAGCCATTCCTGCTTGAGCCGCTCACCAGGGCGATGTTTTTGTACCCCAAATCGCTGGCCGTTTTTGATCTCGTTTGCAGGCGCACGCGAGGTGCAACGTGCGTGGAGCGGACACCCTTGGGGACACGGGATGGGATGCGCTTTCCCGTTTTCCCATTGCATGTTTGCTTTCAGTTAGTGGAGCCTCTCTGCCTGACCGCAGTCCTGTGACCTGGTGTCACCACCGCTGTCACAGTTGTCTTGCTGTGCTCAAGACCTGCTTTTCTCCCCAAATTTTTCCCAGAGATTGCCATCTAAAAAAACCGGGAAAATACTACAGGTGGCAGAACTTCAAGGAGTCAAACGAAGGATGCCTCAAGTTAATTTCTTGACAGGTTCCCATGTGTCTCCCTTTTCTTTTTTGTTTGCCTGTTTGCTAAAAGATGAGGAATAAATTTCTATAGAAGTGTTTTTCATAGTAACTCATGGAAAAGCTCCCTGTAGCAGTGTCTGCATCACCACTGCTTGGCCTTGGAGCACTTAGGAGTCCACAGACTTTCCTTGCTGCTCCTCAGCCCCTGCTTGGGGCCATTTATGATAGTGTGGGAAGCTGGGATCCGATCTGTGCAGCGCTGCCAGTGACTCATAGGAAAATGGGGGTGAATCGCTGGCTGAGGACTTACATAGGTGTATTTTGAAGCAACTTTTTAAAGGTTAGTGTCTGGATTTTCGTTGCACCGTTGATGTGCTCCTGCTGACGGCTGACGTACGATAAGTTTTCCTGTGACGTCCCTAACTACTACCTTGAAAACCTGCGTCATTCCCTTAAGTGATGGTCTCCCTTCCCACTTCCGAAGCACAGCATTTGATTTGTTGAACACTTGTGTAAATACAAAATACAGTTATTAGGTTCTAGTTCTTTTGTCGTTGAGAGTCACGCTCAGAATCACAGCTGTGGGACACATTTAAAGACGTCTCAGTACTCGATGCACGAGGTAGAGTATCCAGGTAACAGTTGGCTTGGGTGATTTGTTCTTTTCCATTAGAATACACGTGCCGTTTTATTTGGGAAACAGTTTAATTTTCCCTCCCAGTCCTTAGCTGTCTTGTGGTGCCGGGTGAAGTGTCCCGTTCGTGCAGACTATAAAACACATGGTAAATAAACAAGCTGTCCGAGTGCGAGCTCCTTCACGCAGCTGGAGGAGGCCTGAGAACCGCACTCGGATTTTCCTCTCGGCACCAAATGCATTGCTCTTTTCTGCATAACTGTTCCAAAAACTGCAGCCTTTTGAGAAGCTAAATCCAGCAACGTGACATTGCACCCTCAGCCCACAAAGCGATGCTTTAGTCCTCTAATGGATTATTTGAGGACATGCTTGAAGACGGAGCCTTTCCTTAAAGGTGTTCAGCTCAGACTTGCTAGAGCAAACCGTGATACGGATTTGACATCTGGTGGTATTTTACGTTTTGCTCCTCACTTGCCACATTTGAGAGAGGAAAATCCCCTAACACAGCCAAAAGAATTGCGCTTGGCCAATAGTTTGCATATTGCAACAGAGCGTTTGTATTTGCTTTCCCATCCTGAAATTTCATAAGACAGTTTCATTCACCTCATTTATTTTATCTTTGTAATTTAGTGATTTTTTGTGTGTGTGTTTTGTTTTTTTTTCCCTCCATTTTTCTTTGTATTGTCCCAGCATCCTGCGCTGTCAGCCCTGTCCGCTTTGCCTGGTGCTGAGATAGGCTTCTGTGGGACCAGTTAACTTTAATTTCCCCCAGAGCCTCTTAAGGGTCGAGGAGGTGGCAGCGCTCGCAGAAGTGGCTCTTCCTCAGGGAAGCAATGGGGAAGCTCTGTGGGGAGCTGCTCCAGACCGAGCTTTGCTCTTGAGAGTTGCGAAGGGGCTAGCAAAAAATAAGAAGGGAACAAGAGAGGAAATAGTCATTTTTAGAGTGGAAATAGTGGAGCTCCTCTCCATGCTAGCGAATGGGCGACAGGTAAGAGAGGCTGTAGAAGAGCAATGGTAACGTGAGGTTGAGAAAAGCAGCAATTCATGAGGCTTCAGCTGGCACTAGTACTGATGATTTTGCTTAGGGGAGAGTTTGGTAAAGCTTTAATTTCTTGGCAAGGCTTTGGAGGCTGCTGTTTGATGGTTATTTGCTTGTCAAAGGACGCGCTCCTTAAACTGCATGGGGTTTAGCTGGGGAGGAACGGGGCTCGGGTCTCTGATGTGTGTTATTCTTTGCATGCTGGATTTAATGGTTTCGTTCAGTTCCCTGCTTTTACCTGACGGGAGTGACTTACCGGTCACCTCAGCGCTTCACTGGAGGCACGGGGCAACGGGTGGGATTCGTTAACACTTCTTGCTAATTTAAATGGCCTCTTTATTCTTTCAGAAATGCATTAACGGAGCAGGTTGCAGGCCTGGCTTGTGCCTTTGCCATTTCTGCTACGTCCTTAGAGCTTAATTTTGCATACGTGTTTTAGCATCTTTGTTGACTGCTGCAAGTGTTGATTTTCCGTTGCGTTAGTCATAAGCTGTAAGTCATTTATCCTCCTTTTCTTTTTAAGTCTTTAGTTTGTTAGATACATGCACATAGATGTTTTTTGTTTCGTTAACCTTCACCCCCCATCTTTTCTGTACTTCAGGTTGGCTCCTCACTGCACTGTGAAAACCATTAGGAAAAGGTCCTTGGGGTAAAACCTGGGGCTCCGCAGTGTTCCCTGCACTTGGGGCTAGAAATTATTTTAAATGGCGACTGATCTGTCTGAAGCTGAACCCGTGCATCATAAGGCGCTTCCACTCTTAACGGGAGCTCAGATGATCCACACGGACAAGTTAAGTGAGGTAGGGGCTGGCCCGTTCTCCAAGCTTGCCCTTGGATCAGACCTTGACCTCCAGTCCTGCTGAAGGTTACTTCATAGTCTTCCTCCCTTGCTTGTAGGAGACGTGGTTGGGAGCCTGATAAACCCCATAGGCTCCTTCCCCTGCCCTGCTTTCCCCAACGTGTTGCATTTGTCAAAATGCTCAAATGCGCTTCTCGCTTAAATTGGAATGGAAAAGAGATTATTGCTCTTATAAATGTAAAATATGAAGCTGTGCTCTCACAGTATGCTTCAGAGAAGCTGGCTTGAGGGTTACTGTCAGTTAAAATGCTGAAAAATCCAAATGTAACCAAAATATTTCAGCATTTGCTTCTTTGATGAACTTTAATCCCGTTTCAGAAACTTGCTGATGCTTTCCACTATCTGTACTGATTTTTTCATGTGCTTTCTATAGAAAGTTGAAGACGACACGATGCCGATCCGTCGCGCCGTGAATAATTCTTCCCGGGAAACTCCTCCCAAAAGCAAACCTGCTGAAGGTGAGGAGGTCAAAGCAGGTAAGGCAATGATTTTTTTTAAACATAGACTTGCATTCTGTGTCTCCTGAAAAAATCCGCCATTGTGTCTAGAATATTGCACTTGCTAAGCTCCTTTTCACAGATTCTTTTTCCTGGATTTTTGGGTAGGTGTGTTTTGCAGCCACGCTTTCCAGTGAAAACCCATTTCTCTCTTTTGTCATAACCTGCCATAACCTTCATAACCTTTCAGCAAAGCCCTCATTCTCCTGCCAGGAAAATACGGCTCGATATGGTCTTCTTCAGCTGCTTCATCCTTTAGAATAAAGGTGGAAACTGGGAGCTTTCAGTAGTGGCAGGGAAATGGCTAGAGATCCAAAACTGGAATTAATGAGCAGAAAGTGTGATCCCTCCATGTAAAAATTATGCACAGGAACCTGATAGGGGTGCTCCAGCTCCTTCTCAAAGACAGTGAATCTGTGTAGTCATGGCAGATAAATGACCATCACAGTGACAGATCAGGACAGTTTATGTGCATCTTATCTGCTAGGCTGTCCAATCTCTAAGGCCTACTTACAGCTAGTATTCTTCAATTAATTTGTTGGGTAAGTAGGTTTCTGACTGGGTTTGATCCTGCTGATAAACAAGGGCTGCTGCCAATGCATGTGCAATCCAAAGCTGTGCCTAGTCTGGAAGAATATGACTGAACGTGTCAGTTAACTTCCTCCAAGCACCATGCTATTTAGTGCAAAAACAGTGGTGTTTAAAAACAAATCAGCTGTAGACAAAGTTGCTTGTTTAAAAAACAACCAAAAAACCCCACATGGATATGTTTGTGTTGGTTCCAGCTTTTTTAAAAGCCTGTATTTATCTACCCAGATCTCCTGTGGAATTATATGGTTTTGCACTTCATTGACTTAAAACGTGTAAATGTTTATAATGTAGGCCAAAATCTTCATGTTTTGCGATACTGATTTCCTCCTCTTCTCTTTCCCTTCCTCACCCCAGGCATTCTGTGATGAATGGTCATTACAACAGTAACTTCCAGGAGTTAAAGAGGAGAAGACTGGGGGAATTAATTCATTGTGAAAATGCTGTGTGATATTGTTTGAAGTTATTTTGGCATTTGATGGCTCATTGCGCCTTACTGGAGCTCTTTCAATAGTTCTGTTCACTTCTTAAGTTACCTTCAAATCATCCATTTAAGTCAGAGAATAGAAACTGTCTGGTGGGAAATCATTTTTGGGGTGTGTCCATAAGCTTTTTTTGTTCCCTCTGCCTTCCTGAAGAGTAAATGTTAGTTTTCAATAGAAACTTGATGCGATTTCATGTGTTTTTAGATCCAGAAGTCACCTCTGAGGAATCTGCCTCTGTTGGGGAAGAACAAGAGAGTGAAACCGCTCCTGCTGCGTCCACTGAAGCAGAACAGCCAAAGGAACCTGAGACCGAAGTGAAGGGGGAAACAAAGTCCTCAGAAGAAACCAAAAAGGAGTAAGGCTTGCTTAGTGCTGAAATTGGGAATTTGGTGGGATTGTAGAGTCAGGGTCTATTGACAGAAAAGGTGATGGAAGGAAAATTAGAATGGATCCCTGCAAAAGATGCTCTTCTTTCCGAGGAGCAAGCAAGCGATCGAGTGCAGCAGCTGTTCTAGAACATGTTTTAAGACTGAGCCTTCAGATAGGTTTCTTTTTTTTTCTTCTTTTTAATCAGAACATCAAAATGTTCTTCAAATAATTTTCAGAGTCAAGTGCTCAGTGTTTTCTCTCTATTCTGCATAGTGGAGTGTCTCTTGTTTTACTGTGGCTTGGTCTTTTTCCTAAGGGAGAAGGATCAGTCCAAGGAAAAGGAGAAGAAGGTGAAAAAAACCATTCCTGCATGGGCTACTCTTTCTGCTAGCCAGCTAGCTAGAGCACAAAAGCAAACTCAGATGGCTGCCACCTCACGCCCTAAGATGGATGCTATTTTAACTGAGGCCATCAAGGTAAGGAGGAGATGAATGTGTTGTTTGTTGTCTGTCATGCAGCAGAATAATTTGTATATGTCTAAAATTCACCGTTTCAACTTGGAGCTGATAGTGCTGTTAGCAGAGATCTTACTGGTAAAACATTTATGCCTTCAGCACTATTGGTGCCAAAGTGTCCAAAGGCCCACAGAACTGAAAGGCAAGTCCGTGATGTAACCAAGATCCTGTAGATCTTTTTTTCTCCTTTGTTTAGAATTTCTTTCCCTGTCTAATTACATTATTAGAAACAGTTTTGATGACATAACCGGGTGGCTGCTGGCATCATTAAATTTGGCGTGCCTTTTAGGCATGTTTAGCTTGATTGACCTTGGTTAATCCTTTTCAGCATTAACTTGCCTTAATTCAGGATAGATGGAAATGCTGTAAGCCTGCATTCCAAAGTGAAGTTGGTCTTGGTTTACTGAATCCCTCCTCCTAAATGTAAGCAGAGACCTTTGCTGCTGTATTTGCACTGCCTTCCCTGTGACACTCATTTCACACACTGATCTGCAAACTTAAACAAAGAGCTTTGTCAAGTCACAGGTGGAGTTTTCTATGACCTGTCAATCCCTAAAATATAAGGCAGAATTGTTTTGGTGTCATCCTGTACAGATCCCTAATGGGAGGACTTCTGGATATCATGAATCTTCAGAGACAGTAATCTTCAAAATGCAGCTTTTTTACTAGCTTGCTAATGTTTATCCTCCACCTCCTTTAGAAAAAAATAAATGGCAGGGCAGCTTGTTACGATTTATTGGTGGTTCTACCTGACACGAGTAAAGTGACCTGTCGATTGTGCAATGTTAGTTATTGTTAAAGATAACACGTGCTTACTGTACCAGTTTTGTGCAATTTGTTACCTTCCCACCCAGGAAGGGAAAGTGCTCTAGTTATTTACTCCGTGGTATTTTATACTGTCAAATCATCATAGGAAAAAGGCCAGCCGTGGCATCCTGTGCCACCACGTTGGCCTGTATGCGTCACTTCAGTCTTTGATCTCCCTCCCACAGCAAGGCAGCTTCCGTGCAGGCGGCTGCTGCTAACTCATTGCTCCCGTTTCAGGCGTGTTTTCAGAAGAGCGGTGCATCCGTGGTTGCAATACGGAAATACATCATCCACAAATACCCTTCCCTGGAGCTTGAGAGGAGAGGCTACCTTCTAAAGCAAGCGCTGAAAAGGGAGCTGGAGAGAGGAATCATTAGACAGGTAAGTGGTGCATTGTGGAACAGCCCTGGAAGTGGCGTTACTGAATTACAGAGGAATTTAAGAAACTCCATTAGCAGCTCTCTGGGGTGATCATGTTCTCCCTCATGGAGGTTAATTAACTTCGGTCTCCACTTCGTTAGGCACTGACGGAATTTCAGCATTGTTCCACGAATCGGATACCCTGACAGGCTGTCTTTTGTGTGACACGGGTGGCTGTTCTTGCTTTTGAACTGTGTCACATAGTGCTGCAAGCGCATGCGTCGCCAAACCGAGGCCAGCAGCTTCGCTTCTGCGTCAGCCTGTTTCTTTTAACAAGGGCGTTTATGCCTGTAACATCAACCCTCTTAGGCTCTCCTGCTAAGGACAAGACTATGTCAGTACTTGTCTTCCTGGCAAGCTCTGTTTTCTGATCTTACAGAAGAGTCAGGCCCCTGTTGTTCACGGGAACGCTGATTTTACGTTTGAACAGGTTGCCTGCATGAAGGCAGTGGATCCAAATCAGGCCACTGACATAAAGCCCATGGCCAGGATAGCAGTGCATCCTAAGTCTTTCTAATGATGCCAAGTAGCTTTTTTCAGGTGGTTAGTACTGTAAGTTGCTTCGTCTGCTAAAGACTGAAATAGCCTTTTTTCTTTCTTTTTTCTTTTTTTCTTTTTTCAAATTAGGTGAAAGGGAAGGGAGCTTCTGGGAGCTTTGTGGTAGTGTCTAATGCAGGAAAAACTGTTCTGAAAGCCAGAGACCGAAAGGTAAGTTGGATCATTTTAAACATTGCTCTGAAAAATCTTTGTTGGTGCCACTGCAACACATGCATCTTACAAAAAGTGCTCAACCCCAACCCAAAGAGTTTTCTCCTTCTTCATATACCTTTTCTCTTCAGGTAAAGTAATACAAACATCTCTTCCACTAAAATCTCAGAAAACTAGTATTAAAAATTAAAACCAAGTTAAAAAACACAAACAATGTTTTAATTTTTACATGAAACCACTAGGCTTTGTTTCAGAAACAGGAATAACCACAAAGCTCCTCTTCTGTTTTTACTTGTTGAAATGCCTTTTCTGTATAAAGGTCTCTCTTTTCTAGTCATCTCTTAGTAGGGAAGTGACAAAGGAAAAGTCAGGAACAAAGAATCAAAATTTCTTTCTGCCAACTTAAAAAAGCACAGTCATACTTGGCTCAGTTTTGCAGTGGATTTGGTCTGTGTAAACACCTAGGAGAGTGTCTTGCCTCTTATGGCTTTTCCTTTCATGTCAGTAGGAATCATTTTCATCTGACTTCATGGAAGGGTTGCAAGAGAGTCCATCAAAAGGGGAGGGAAAACATGAAAAATGCAGATGTCATTAAATACTCAGCAATGATAGTATTTATAAAACATTCCTAAGACTCCTGTGAAACTTCAGCCACGTTACGTAGATTTTACTTGAACTGCTAAACATTCAAATTCTTAGTGTAAAAAACTACTTTATAGAACTGCTTTTTCAAGATCTGTGGCCAATATCACGAGTAGCTCTCCTCACCTGTATGTCATGGGTTCAGAAGATCTAAAGTCCTAGGCCCTACTGATGCTTGAAAACGCTTGTGTTTCAGAGAAGCACTTCTGCTTCGACTCCAGAGCAGCAGGTCAAGCTGGAAGACATCCTGCCCCTGGCTTTCACCCGCCTTTGCGAGCCCAAGGAAGCTTCTTACAGCCTGATCAAGAAATATGTGTCTCAGTATTACCCCAAACTCAAAGTAGATGTAAGGTAGGTGCACTTTTGCAAGCAGGACTCCCAAATAGCCTTGAAACACGGGTTTCAAGTGCTTGTCCTCTAGTTTTGCTTCACTTCAAAGTGATTTCATCTGGTATTTCATCTAGCAGCAGACAGGTGGTGCTCTGTGTTGTAAAAGCTGCAGGAAAGCTCTGCTTTTTTCTGCATCTCTCTGCATCCTAATATTTGAGACTGACGTTCCACACATCTCTGCCCTTAACCAAAACCAAATCCCTCCAGCCAGTCCCACAGATTGGAAAACCTCCTCTTGGTGTCTAGTCACACTTCTCTTTAAATGCCTAAGCTGGTGCACACAGTAATCTGCTGGTTTGCCCTCCAGGACTGGGTTGAGGATCAGGGGAGCAGGTAAATTTAGAACAACCACCTATATTCCCTTTCAGAGGGGCTCAATCCCTCGTCTGTCTCTCAGCTGGCCAACTCATTGCCCACCTAATCCTGTCTCCAAATGCACCTCTCAAAATGAATAAGTCCTTCCAAGTGAAGCTTATCTGCTCCTGGGTACACAGTGATGCCAGGAGAGCCTCGTGGTTGAATATCCGCTAACACACGTTGTTCTTTTCATCTGAACGGCACTTGTTAACAGATCTCCATTTAAAATGTCTGTATGTAGGCAGATCCCACATGTAAGTACTGCTCTTCTCGCGCTCCGTGCAAGGTGTTGTTGCTCTGTTTGTTTTTTTGCGCTGTCAGTGTGTGTCAGTAAAGCTTTATCCGCCTGCGTTTCAGACCCCAGCTGTTGAAGAATGCCCTGCAGAGAGCTGTAGAGAAAGGCCAGTTAGAGCAGATCACAGGGAAAGGAGCGTCTGGGACATTCCAGGTCAGAGCCAGAGTTTATCTTGCTTTATCATCTCCGTTGACCTCGATCCTTTGGTTTGTGCTAATGTGCCCTCCCCACCAGTGTTACTGGGTACACCTTTCTTTAGCAGCCTGTCCTATTCGGCAGTTGTCAAACCAGTCTCTTCTCGGTCCACATTTCTGGAACAGACCCCCTGCCTTCCTTGCTTAGCGTGCCTCACACGCTGCTCCAGCTCTGACTCACTAGCACAGTAGGGGAGATAGAGGGGTAAGCTTTCCTTTCCATCACTAATTGCAAGTGCAGTAGGTACCCCAGATGTCCACAGTGTCTTTTCTTCGGGGCTGTGCCATCTCTTGGGTACATTTGGTCTGTGGGATGGAGGAAGATCTGATTTATTCCCTTCCCGAATGACAGGTCTGTAGATTTCCACATACTCGCATGGTATTTTGGGATGGGGACAATGTGGTTCCGATAAAAAGCACTCCAGGCTAGTTGACTAAATAGGCCTGTCCTCCCATTAAAGCTGGGAGAGCAGCATTCCCTCTGCGGTGTTTTAATATAAACCGTATCTGTGCTAATGCAGGAGCGCCGACCCACCTGGTGCAGAGGAGCTTGTCCTGACCTGGTTTGGGAGAATTTTGTCTTGATGCTTTTCTCTTCCTCCTTGGAAAATAGCTGAAGAAGTCAGGGGAGAAGCCCCTGCTGGGTGGGACTCTGATGGAAGACGCCATCCTGTCTGCTATCGCTGCCATGAATGAGCCGAAGACCTGCTCCACCACAGCACTGAAGAAGTATATCCTGGAAAACCACCCAGGGACCAACTCCAACTTCCAGGGTAAAGTACCAATTTTGGGGACTCTTTTCACACTGAAAATTCCTGCAGCTGCATCTTTGATGCATCTTTGAGCTATCCAGCCGAGCTTGCTGGGGACCTGGCAGCTGCTCTGCTCTTTGTGCTGCCGAGGAAAAACTGCCTTGCAGAGATGCTCAGTGTTTTTATTCCGATTAGTTCCTTTCAAGCTTGACAAAGGCAAGTTTCTGGGACATAATGCTTGTTTCTCTTGTCTGTAGCCAGGGAAGGAGAGTAGTATTCAAGTCCTTCATCGTTCTTAAATCACAAAGTTAATTTTGTCTCTTGCTCAGTTTTGGGCGGCTGCAGCTCAGAATGAAGATAGTTCCAAATAGCAGTTATAGTTAGAAGAGTTGCACAATTTAACATAAAAAATCCTATGAGACCCCTTCTATTGATTTTCTGGAGACCCTCTTCTCACTCGGATTTTTAAAAGGTTAAGCAAGTGAGAGTCAAAAACTGACCCTACTGTAAGAGATTTGGCACATCTTTGTTCCCAGTAGCGACACCAATGCCCTTTTTGGCTTTTGCCTTAGGCAGAAGCAAGGACAACGGAGCTGTTAAATCTTCTCATGGTTTCTTTGCATTATTTGACCTGAACCCCTGTGCAGTTGTTTAACCCGAGTGGAAGGTCACTTGGAGCAGCCTGAGCTGCTAGAAGCCTCTGCCAGAGCCAGACCTAAAAGCAGATCAGTTTGTTACAGCACAGGGCTCCCTACCATGCAGAGGAGCACGGGTTTCCTCTAGCACTGTGGGCCAGAGCAGCTGCCTGAGGCCTCCTGCCCACCAGGGATGGTGTCACAACGACTGCTTGGTCTCGGGGCAGGGAGGAGAGTGCCCGAGCTCACTAAGGCCTTGCCTTATTTGCTTGCAGGACCGTTGGAGACTTCAGCCCTGGTCTTTAGAGGCCTGTGCTTAGCCTGCCTCCAGCGCTTGTCAGTCTTGCAGGTCAGATAAGGAAATTTCGCTTGCGATCTGTTTTTTTTTTCCTGTCGTCTTCCATTAGATGAAAAACACTTTTGATGATCTTTTGACTCCTTTTTAGGAGCAGTTGGAGGAAGATGTGGTGAGGTGTAAAGGCAGGCAGGGGCAGTGCACGACGCCTCCCCGTTCAGTCTCTCAGTTACAACTGCAGCTAAATTCTTTACTCGCTGCTCTCGGTCTTTGGTGCCCCCAGTAAGAGTAGCCTGATGCTGTATGTGCTGCCCCTCTTTATAGAAGTGTGGGTTAAAAAAAAAAAAAAAGTTCCTGGATGCTTTAGAGCCTGATGTTGGAACACTAACAGTTTAATGGATACAACCCATTCAATTAGCTGTGTAAGCAATTCCAGTGTCGGTTAAATTAAAACTTCTCAGCAGCAGCAGCAGTGCCTAGGCTGCTAGGTATGGCAGTGTCCCAAGTGATTTTCTTGCTGTGAAATGTCAGTTCTTGATAAAAGTCCATTTCAGTAGCACTGAACAAGCAGTTTGAGTGAACACCTTTCCATTAATCATGCACAACAGATGCAGGCGACAGTTTAACCATCGCACTTTGGCATTTTCTCTTTCCATTGCTCGAGTGGAGCTCTTGGGAAGTGCTTCAGGGCGAGGCTCGCTTTTCCCTTACCTTGGAGGGAGCTAAATAAAATCTTCCTAATTTAAGCTGAAAATGGTTTTGAACTGATTAAAAAACTTTAGTCCTTTGCCACAGACTTAATCACAAAGTTAAATGCTTTGCACAGTGCTCAACGGAACAAAAGGTTGGAGTGAAATCCTCTGTTTCAAGGCAAAGCAAGGAAAGAGGCAGCAAATCATGGCTCTCCTCTCATGTTCTAAAACTTTAAAAATGTATAATATACTGGTTGAAGAAAGCTGAGGCTTGGATTGGGTGTTGATAGAAGTAGTTCTGTAACACATCTATAAAGGAGGAGCCCCTGGTTGTAACATCAGCACCTGCTCTGTTCTTGGTCTCTTCCTTTGGAGAGTTTAAAACCACGTTTGCTTCTAACACAAAGGTCTAGCTGGGTCCACAAGTCTCCAGTGTCTAGCGCTGGTCCCGGGCACCTGAGGTGTCCTGGACAAAGGAGACTTCATCCTGTTTGTCCGTCTCTGATTTCACGGCGGGAAGCAGTTAATGTCGAGATGGGTGCGTGGATAAGGATGTAATGCCGCCTCTCTCTGCCCTTTCACAGTGCACCTACTGAAGAGAACCCTGCAGAAATGTGAGAAGAATGGATGGATGGAGCAGATTTCTGGAAAGGGCTTCAGTGGAACTTTCCAGCTTTGCTTCCCATATTATCCTAGGTAAAGAGCTGGTGGGTTAATTAACGTTCAAGGTGAATATTTCCTAGAACAACCAGATAACCTTGCTGTATTTCCGAGGCCAGCTTCATATTCACGGCAGAGTTTGTAGGGTGGATGAACCACAGTGTTGTCACCCATCCTGCTTTAGGCAGCACCTTTAATTGGGCGTCCGGCTGTGAGTGGACGTGAAACTGACTTCATTAGCGAGTAAAACTTCATTAGTGAGTAAAACAAAATAAAAATGTTGGACTAAATACTCTTGGCTATTCTGTCATAGCACTTTCTGCAGGATGGTGGCTGCTTAAGTGCTCCCGTGGTAAAATAAGCTTGCATGAGAGGAATTATGCTTCTTAATGCAAGAATGCTCCTAATGAGCAGGACCATTTGCCTTTCCAAATGCCAGGGCAGGAGGAAGGTAACCTGCACTAGCAACCGTGAGACCAAAAGAGCCTTTCTGCCCCTGCTGTGAGGGAATGTTGTGCTGAGGAGCAGGGATGGTGACTTGGTGTCTCACCAAGAGCCACGTGGCAGCACAGCCACTAAAGCCTCTGCCTCCCACCGTCCCCCTAACGTGCTCCTGTCTGTCTCCCCACGTGTGCGCTGGGAGAAAGGAGCAGTGAGGAAGAGAAGCAGCAGCCTCGGGAGGGGAGCTGGGCGTTTGAAGCTGTTATCTGGCAGGAAGGAGGGCAGCAGTGCCTGGTAAGCCAGGCTTGCCCAAGGCTTGCACTGGCCCTCGAGCTGCACCTCAGAGGTGAGTAGTCTTGTGCTAACTGGAGTGCTCTTGTAGCCCAGATGTGCTCTACCCAGAGAAGCAGCAGGATGAGGACTCGGAGGAATCTGATGAGGAAGAGGAGGAGGAGTCTGAGGAGGAAGAGGAGTCTGAAGAGGAAGAGTCTGAGGAGGAAGAGCCCCCACCAAAGAAGAGGTATGGTAGCATTAAACATGGCCCCTTTTGCAGCATTAAAAGCAGTAAGAGTGTGTAAGGGAGGGAAACGAGCACCTCGCTGTTCTGGGTGGATCCCTTCTGGATCCCTGGAAATAACGTGGTGCCAGAAAGGGAGGAGTGTTCACGGCGACACCACGGGAGTGCCCAGCAGCTCCGCAGCCTGCAGAGGCAAAATGCCCAGCGTGGAGCCCTGGGGTTATCCGCAAGGCTCAGCAAGCGTTGGGAAAGGGAATTCCTGTCCCGATTGAATTCTTGGGCACTACGAGGATGAGGACTTCTCTGGCCTATGTGCTCTTCTCCAACAGCCTGAGAAGCAGCACCTTGTTCCAGAGATAGCTATCTCCTCCGTTTAGTAGTTTGAAAACACCTTTTTCTTCCAGATGGGAAGAGCCCACCTTTATTTTGTGTTTTCTTAGTGCTCCCACATGCCTTGTGTGCTTTATGGAAGTGTGAGCTCTCACATGGGACTTCTTGGTGTTTATTAAATGTTTCATTAGGACAGCGGTTCCCTCCAGTACCGTTTGCTGTTCTCTAGCCAGATAGGAAACCTGTCTCACCCAGAGGAGGGATTTAAGATGAGTAGTGTTCATTAAGTAATAAAACCCCACTTGCAGAGGGCAAGAGAGACCGTTGAGGTCTTTGAATTGTTTCGATAATTGACTTGGATTCAACCAGCAATCCAACATTGGATTCATCACTGTTATTTATATATTTTTATGCCTAGTGAAGGATTTGGAAACTTAGCTGGCTGGGAAGTGCTTAGCACGGCGAGATCCACCACGGGATTTCTTGCTCTTTGGGATTTAGATTAGCAAAACATCCCGCTGCATGCGGGTACAGACCGAGAAGGCCACGAAGGGCTTGGCTTGGTGACGGGAGCGCCGCCGGTTCTGCCTCTGCCCCTCCTCTCTGACCCTTCCCTGCTGCTCTTCCTCCCTGGCAGGCTGCAGAAGAGGCCCCCCCCGAAGTCGCGGAGCAGGGCCGCCCCGATGAAGCGAAGAGAGGCCAAGCCCAAGCCCAGGAAAACGCCCGCGGCGCGGCGGGGCAAAGCCAAGCCCCCCGCCAAGGTGAAGCCCCCCGCCAAGAAGGCCAAGCCGCCCGCCCCGGCCATCAAGAAGGCCTCTGGCGGCAGCGCCGCCAAGAAACCCGCGGCCGGGGGCAGCAGGAAGGAGGTGAAACCCTCTGCCAAGGGCAAATCCACCATGAGGAAATCTCTCCGGGCAAAAAAGTAATTTTGGGTTTTTTTTTTTCCAGTGTCAGGGAATCCCATGGTCAAACTTACAATTTTGTTTTATAACATCAACGTGCATTTGTATTTTAGTTCTGATGCTTAAACATTTCTTTATATATTTTTTTTTTCTTGAATGATGGCTAAAAGCTGAAAACTAAATCAAACCATCCCAAGCGTTTGCCAGAGGCCGCCGCGGCGCCCCGGGCCTGCCCTGGAACCGTCACCTTTAATTCCCGCAATAACTTTAGGCCTTTTCTAGGACCTGTAGCCTGTATGTGTTTTACCCTGTTCCTCTTGGTTTAAAAACAACAACAAAATGCTTTAAAAAATCCCTATCTTTAGCCGGCAGAAGCAGGACGACTGGGGAAATGTAGTTGTGAAGGGGACGGTGCCGCCGCACTGGGGTCTCCTGTAGATCCCCCTGTGTGACGAGGTCCCAGGGCTGCAGGGACGTCGCGCTCGGCCCCGTCGGAGCCGCTGCTCGAGGACGGGGCAGGCTGGGGCTCTGCGCGGGGCCCTTCTCGCCCGAGGAGGGGGTTTGAATTAGTGTTTCCGCGCCACCTCTGTTACCTTAAAACCAAAACATATAAACGTCTTGAATCCAACTTTCAAATGTTTTTAAGAGATGAGGAGCCTGCATTTTTGGTCACTTCTCGTTTATCCTTTTTTTAAAAAAAAAAGAAAAAAAAAGTTGGAGAGCTATAATGATTGCTAATGTAGAGATGTTGATACATGAAAAACATGCCGTTTGCTACAATAAAATGAACCTAGATTCCAGGCTTGTGTGGCGTTTCCTTCATCATCCTCATCCTGCAAGCGGAGAGGGGAGGGAGTTGCCCCACGTCCACTGTGGGTATGGGGAGGGTGCCCCCCAAACCGGTTTTGGCTCCTGATTGGGGGCCTGATGCAGTGATGGGGCGGAAGGAGCCGCTTTGTCCCCCTGGTTTCCACCGCTCGGCTTTGCTTGACAGCAGAGCGGGACACCGTGATTCCCAGGAAGGGCCTGGAGTGGGAATGGGGAATGGAGGAGGATGATGGATGAGGATGAGTCTGGCTGGAGATGCTGGCCCCATCCCTGGGGGGGCTCTGGGGGCTCCATCCAGGGGCCCCCAGCTCTTCCCAGGCCCCGTTCCCGCGTGGCCCATCCCCGCGGAGCCGGGACGTTATTCCCGGCGGCCCAGCCGCCGCCTCCCTCCCCCGCTGCCGCGGAGCCGCTGCCCCCGGCGCCGCTGCTCGTTGCGGGGCTGCCCCGGGGGGCTGGGGGCGGGGAGCGCCCCGGGGCCGCCGCAGCCGCCGGTTACCGCGAGCGCCCGGCGGGAGCCGCAGCGGCCGCGCAGGTACCGCGGGGAGCCCGGCGGGGCCGGCGGGGGCCGAGCCGGTGCGGACGCGGTTCGGAGCCGGTTCGGATGCGGTTCGGAGCCGGTTCGGAGCCTGCGGCACCGGCCGCCCCCCCGGCCTGGGCTCCGCGTCGCTCCGGGGGCCCCATTGACAAACGGAGCGTGGGAACCAGGGGGCGGGGCCTGGGGGGCTCCTGCCCGCCGATTGGCTGGGGGGGGGGGGGGGGGGGAAGACCCCCGGGCGATGCTCTTAATTCTTAATGGGGGGCGAGGGGGGGAAGCACCTTAGTCCCCCCCTCCCCGCGCCGCGTCTTTGCGCCTCCTGCCCGGGGTTTGGTGCATTTTGTGCTGCGGAGGCTGCAGCAGCAGCAGGTGCCGCGAGTTGTGCAGGTCTCAGCACGGAGGGGCTGGGGGCCCTGGATGGAAAAGTTCCCCTCCTCTTTTGCCCGCCCCCCCCGCGGGGGTCCCGGCCGGGCCGGGGTCTCCGTCGCCTCCAGAGCCGCCGCTGCCTCCCCCGGCCGGAGCCGCGCGGCCCCCGGCAGCCCCGCGGCCGCGGAAGGGGCTCCGCAGAGGTGAGGCCCGCGGGGGGGCGCGATGAGGAACCCCCCCCTTCCTGGGGTTGGGATGGGGGTGCAGGGATCCCCTGCATGGGGCTGAGGAGGGGGGCATCCCCTGCACCCTGCATGGGGCCAGGACCCCCAAGTCTTGCATGGGGTGACATGCAGAGACATCCCGCACTTTGCACGGGGCCAGGACATGGGGACCCCCAAATGTCTCTTGGGGGGGGGCTAGGCCACAGGGCCCCCCTGGCACCTTGCATGGGGCCAGGATATGGGGACCCCACATCTCGCATGGGGGGAGACGCAGGGACCTCGCCCGGGGGGAGCCCTAAACCTCGCCCGGGGGCAGCGCACGGGCGCGGAGGCCGAGGGCCCCGTGGTGCAGCCGGGCGCCCCGGCGCTGAGCCCCGCGGCCGCCCCGCGCTCCCGCCGGCGGCCATGAAGAAGCAGCAGCAGCAGCAGCAGCAGCCGGTGCCGCCGTCGCGCGCCCGAGCGGTGGCCAGGGCGGCCGAGGTGAGCGCCGGGCACGGCCCCGGGCACCCGCGGCGCCTGCGGGGCGGCCGCCGCCACCTCTCGCCCCTCGCCAGTACGTGGGCTCCTTCGCCGCCGACGAGCTGGACGTGCAGCGGGACGCGGCGCTGCTCGACGAGCGCCTGCGGACGCTGCAGGTGAGTGCGGCGCCATCGGTGCCGTCGCTTACGGGGTCCCGGCACCCTGTGCCCGGCCCAGTGCCGCCTCTCTGCCCGCCAGGACTGTCCCCGGAGGAGGAGCGTGGTCCTCAAGTTCAGCCTGCAGGGCCTCAAGGTCTACGGCGCTGACGGCGAGGTGGGCAGGCTGCGGGCTCGGAGCGCATCGGGCTGGGGGCATCAGCGCGCGCGGTGGCTGGTTGGTGCTGCGGGGTCGGTGCTGGTGGCGTGGCAGGGCTGCGGCTGGCTTTGCATGTGGCAATGGGTGCAGGATCATCCCTGGCATTGCCCTGGCAGTGCTGGTATCCCGTGTGGGATCAGTGCTGGCAGCGCATGGTCGGCACCAGCCTCGCACACACGGTCAGTGCTGGCATTGCACGCTCAGCACCAGCCTTGCACGCGGGATCGGCACCGGCATTGCACGGGCTACACTGGCATTGCACGGTCCGTGCCAGCACTGGGCTCAGAATCAGCACCTGTATCGCATGGTTGGCACTGGCATTGCACGAGGCATCCGCGCTGGCACGGCACAGTCAGTGCCAGCACTGCATGCGGGACCAGCCCTGCCCTGCGCAGCCGGCACTGGCATTGCACCCAGCAGCAGCTCCAGCCCTGCGCACTCGGTGCCAGTGTTGCACAGGGGATCAACACCAGCATTGCACGCTCGGCACCAGCGCTGCGCGCAGGATCAATGCTGGCATTGCCCGGCGCCGGCATTCCCCACGGGATCAGCCCTGGCATTGCGCGCTCGGCAGCGCCCTCGCACCCGTGGTCATGGCCGTGCCCTGCGCCCGCAGACGCTGCTGATGGCGCACGCCCTGCGCCGCATCCTCTACAGCACGTGGCGCCCGGCGGAGGGCCAGTTCGCCTTCGTGGCGCGCAACCCGCGCAGCCCGGCCACCAAGCTCTTCTGCCACCTCTTCGTGGGCCGCGAGGTGGGCACGGCGCCCCAGCGCCCGCCGCGCGCCCGCCGCCGCCTGCCCCGGCACCCGCGCCTCGCTGTCGCCCGCAGGTGCAGACCCTCCACCTGCTGCTGTGCCGCTGCTTCCAGCTGGGCTACCTGCGCGCGCACCCCGGGGCGCAGGCCGCGGGCGAGGAGCCGCGGGCGGCCGCGGGGGCCGCGGTGCTGCGGGCGCCGCTGCACCCCGACGAAGCGTCGCCCACCGTCAAGGCGCTCGTCTCCTTCCGACGCCTGCTCGCCCCCTCCAGCCTGGCCGGTCGGGTGGGTGCACGGCCCCCTCGCCGCGTTCCAGGCGCGAGGGTGCACGGGTGCTGCTGCGGTGCATGGGTTCTAGGTGATGTGGGTGCACTGGTGCACGAGGGAATTGGGTCTTTGGGTACACGGGTGTGATGGCGCACAAGTGCAAATGTGCACGGATTCGTTGGTGCACAGATCTTTGGATTCAATTGCACACAAGTGCATGAGTGCTTTGATGCATGGGGGCATCAGTGCACTGGTTCCTGAGGTCATGGGTGCCATGGTTCATGGGTGCTTTGGTGCATAGGTGCAATGGTATCCAGTTGCTGGGTGCAGTAGTGCAGGGCTGCTTTGGTGCATAGGTGCAGGGGTGCATTGGTGCCCCAGTCCCTAGGTGCACAGATGTGATGTCACACGGGATCCTGTGTGCAGAGATGCAATGGTGCCAGATGCTCTGGTGCCCGAGCCCCTGGGTGCATGGTGCTTTGGTGGATGGGTGCAATGGTACTCGAGTTCCTGGGTGCAATGGAACTAGAGTTCCTGGGTTCCACTGCACGGGTAGGTGCAATGGACCCTAGGTGCACATACCTGATGATGCACCAGTTTCTGGGTGCATGGGTGCTTTGGTGCTTGAGTCTCTGGGTGCAGGGGTGCAGTGGTGCGTGGGTGCACTGGTGCCCCAGTCCATGAATGCACAGGCACAATGATGCACAGCTTCCTGGGTGCATGGGTGCTTTGGTTTTTGGGTCCCTGGGTGCAGGGGTGCTTTGGTGGATGGATGCAGTGGTACCCCATTTCCTGGGTGCTGGGGTGCCAATGACGCATGAGTCCATTGGTGCACAGGTCCCTGTGTGCAAGGGTGCACAGGTGCTTTGGTGCACTGTTTCCTGGGTGCATAGGTGCTTTGGTGCACGGGTGCAATGCTGCCCAGGTGCTGGGCTGCCCCAGTGCCCGGGTGCACGACATGACGGTGCGCAGGGCCCTGTGCGCGTGGGTGCACCGGTGCCCCGGTGCTTTGGCGCGGGGGCCCCGGGGTGCCCGGGTGCAGGGGCGCTCGCCGCGCGCTTTGCAGGAGCGGCGCCCGGAGGCCGAGGCCAGGGAGGCCGCCCGGCCGGGCAACCCCTACTGCTCGCCGGTGCTGGTGCGCAAGAAGGCCATTCGCAGCAAGGTGCTGCGCTCGGGCGCCTACCGCGACTGCGCCGCCGAGGGCCCCGCGCCCCGCGACGCCGGTGAGTGTCCCCAGTGCGCGGGGACCCCTCGGCGGGGACGGCGGCGGCTGCAAATGGGTGTCACCGCCCCGCAGCGCCGGGTGGCGGCGAGAGCAAAGGGGCGCGCGGCGGCCCGGCCCTCCTGCCCGAGAGCGACGGGGACCTCGCCGAGAGCGTGTGGGCCTTCGCCGGCATCTCCAGGTGAGCGCGACGCCGCCGGGTCACCCCCGCGTGTCCTGGTGTCACCTGCCGCCCGCGTCGCCCCCAGGGACGGCGGCATCGCCCTGCTGCGGAGGGACGTGCCCGGCGCCTTCCTGCTGCGCGCCGAGCCCGGCCTGCCCAACCGCTGGTGCCTCTGGGTGCGGGTGCCCTGCGGCGTCATCCCCTACTCCGTGTTCAAGAGCCACCAGGGCCGCTACCGCGTGGAGGTGAGCGGCGCGCGGGGGCTCAGCGCTGCACATGTGCAATGGTGCAAGTGGTCACAGCTGCAGGGGTGCAATAGTGCACGCTTTCAAAGTGGCCCAGGTGCAACAGTGAGTGCACAGGTTCATAGCTGCATGGGTGCAATGGTGCTCAGGTGGACAGTGTGCAGGTGCGCAGCAAAGCAGGCGCGCAGGCTCGTGGGTGCATAGGTGCAATGGGGCAAGGCGGCATGGGTGCACAGGTCCACGTATGCACTGGGCGCATGGCTGCCCAGGTTTGCAGGTGCATTGGTGCACTTGCTCATGGATGTGTGGGTGCACCGGCTCATGGATACATGGGCGTACCAGGTCAGGGGTGCAATGGCGCAGAGGTGCATGGCTGCGCTGGCACACTGCTCCATGGGTGCATGGGGGTGCACGGGTGCATCAGGGCAGGGGATCAGCAATGCATGGATGTGCATGGGTGCATGGACACATGATGCCTGTAGGATGCAACATGCATGGGTGCACTGAGGCACAGGATGCCCAAATGCACCGTATAATGGTGCACTGGTGTGCAGAGTGCCTGGGTACACTGTGCATGAGAGGACTGGTGTGCAGGGTGCCTGGATGCACTCTGCATGAGCTCACCGGCATGCAGGCTGCTCGGATGCACCATGCATGGATGCATCGCTATGCACGGTGCTGGATGCACCGTGCATAGATGCACGGTCATGCAGGCTGCCCAGATGCACTGTACATGCATGCACCAGCACGCAGGGTGCAGATGCACCATGCATGCATGCACCAGCACGCAGGGTGCAGATGCACCGTGCATGCATGCACCAGCACGCAGGGTGCGCGGGCGCGCGGGGCTCACGGCCGCTCTCCCCCGCGCGGCAGCACTCCAACGCCGAGTTCTGCAGCGTGCCGGCGCTGCTGGCGCACTACTGCAGCGCGCCCGGGGGCTGCTTCTGCCGCCTGGCCCCCGGGCGCCGCAACCCCGGCTACGAGGAGGGCGACGCGGCCGGCGCCGAGGCGCCGCGGGCGCCCGCGGGCGGCCAGCACGAGCGCGGCTAGGCCGGGCTGTACGGGCGCCGCGGGCAATAAAGAGGCCGCTGGACGACCCGAGCTGCGCGTGCAACGGGCCGGCGGCGCCGTCCTGCGCCCGGCCCCCCGAGCGGCGCCGGCTCTCGCGCTGCGCGTGCGGGCTCGTGCGCTCGCACTTGTGCACACACACACTCATGGCCTTGCAGGCTCACACGCTTAGGCCGTTGCTGTCTTGTGCACTCCCTCGCACCCGCACGCTTGCACCAGCGCTCATGCACACGCAGGCCCTGGTGTGCGCTGGCACTTGCACGCTCGCATTCATTTGCACCCTTGTACTGCCTCTCCCTGCACCCATGCTCCCGTGCACTTGCCTCATGCACACACGGCCCCTTGCACACCCAGTCCCTTGCACACATTGCCCCTTGCACACCCGGCCCCTTGCACGCCCGTGCACTTTCCTATCCAGCCCCTTGCACACCC